CCAAAAGTTGAAAAGAAATATTCAAGTGTCAATTTTCCAAAATGAAATGGAAGATTTTGTCAATGACTTTTTTTGTGGGGCTGATTTTGTACTAAAGGGATCAAAAATGGTAAAGCGGAAACAGAATTGTCCCAAGAGGGCCCAAACAATAACTGCAAAAATCCCTTAATTTTAGGACAAAAACGTTTAAAAGGAAAATTTAAAAATAAGGATCGTTTGTTTAAAAGAATAAACCGGAATAAAATATTTCAAAATCTATAAATCAAAACATATTACGTATACTCTGGGTAGCTAATTAAACTTAGCGACCTCATACTCGACTCTGTCATGATTGATCCACGTTTTAATTTTGTTTAGATATGGAATTTTATTAGAAGAGGAAAGGTACACCCAATAAGAATTTCAGATTGTTCTTGGATTACTTTAAAACAAATATAATTACACTAAAGTTTTCATATTTACTTGAGGATACGCCGCTTTTCATGGAATGGCACTCCTGTGTCACATTGAAGGTTCTGCGGATGTTTCTACATTTAAAATTTCACCAGTTTCGTGTTTAAATGTTGAATTATGCTTAAGCCGGGGCGTGGACGGTAACTTGTACTTTCCATTACTTCCAATGAACAGGCTAAATCAAACAGAGCCTGCAATATTTTCAATTTTTTTGTGTTGGCCTTTCTTAAGAGAGCTGTTTTTCTCTATTTTAATGAATTCACAAATGAATTACTGTGAAGTTCATGCGGCAAAATAAACATAAGCATTTACGTGAGTAACTTACGGAGAAAATATTATCTTACGCTAAAAAAATTCATATACAGTGTGTGGTGCGTGTGTGTGTTATGAAAATGCTTGGGTAAAAAAATATGTTTTGCTATTTCCATATGTGCAAAGAATGGAATTCTGATTCCTGAATCGCGTATATTTATTACTCACTAAGTGGGATTGAAGTATATTAAATCTATGTACTATATTATATACATGATACTAATATACAATTTTTTTATTTCAGGTGGACGTTAACGCCACAAACAGATAATCTGAATATATATTTTTTTTTCAGATGTACATTGTTTACTTGACTGAAAATGTCGGGACGACATTTTTGTAACTGGGGGGAATATGTCATAGGGTTAATGTATAACTATGTTATAACATGTATGTTTTTGTATACTTTACAGTAATGTTTATTCTGTTTCAGATACATAACGAAATATACGACTAGTCATAATAACATAATATTGCAATCAAATAGTAAATCTGAACACCAATTATAGAGATAGTAGCTTGTGTATGCGTAGTGGTAGTCGTAGACCTGTATTACATATTGGTAGTCGTACACCTGTATTAGCTATTTACCAATAGTTATCCCTTTTACACCTGTAATCTATCTAACGTATTGATTTTCCCCGCACGAGCATATTAACCAATCACATTCGATCAAGTGATATCCGCCATACTTTGAAAATGTAAACAAGCCATTTTTGTGCTGAAACATTAAATATCCATTTTGTAGTTATATATAAATATATCTACAGGTAATCATGTGTATTTGAAACTATAATATGTAATGTTTGTCGTGCATTGCTTTGATATTATGAATATGTATTGCTAATCCCCTATTTTGACATTGTATTTATATTGTTTTGTTTATGTCATGTATTACAGGAGCGTATCTTTCCATGTTTCCATGACAATATTAAACTTATTGAAAATCTGTCGACCCATGTTGTCATTTTATCATGCAACTGCTATGGTAACTGCCCGATAACACTTGCCTGATAATTATTTTTGATATCAGGTCAGTATACCTGATATCAAAAATAAGCCCCGCCCATTTTATATTCTCATTTTTATCAGCATGTGAATTCTAAAATGTAATCTCATACCGTTACAAGTCTTGGATCAAGATGCGATATTTATTTAATTTATTTATTAGGTCGATTCGATTTCAATTACGAATAAATTAGATTGCGAATAGTTTCATGAAGTGACGTCATAATTTATATTGCAAATGACATCATCTATGTTCACGTCATACTATACATGAAATGAAATGATAACAAACAGGTTAGACGATTTTCTTTGAGAACTTGTGAATGTTTACCCTATATCGCCGGATTATTTAAAAAGTGAACAAATTTTTTCGTTTAAAAAATAAGACGCATGTTTGTGTAGCTTGTGTTTGAATGCCGATTTGTACGGAAGAGCATTAGTGCCAGGTGTATGTTTTTTATTATCCTCGAGTGACCAGTTTCGACGCCCATAAGGATTGTTTTGTATGCGTCTATAAAAACCATGTGATTGTATTTTATAAAATGTTTTAACTTTTTAAAAAATCTCTAACCTTTATGAAATAGGTAAATTTAAGCTGTTTTCCAGCTATTCCTTTTCATGAACAATCCTACTTTCACTTCATCCGGGAGCGGCCATTTTGATTAAGAGTGCCCTAAAACGACGCTATTGATTGGCTAATTTAATTACACACTACAGGAGACTGTACACCATAATCTTTTTACTTACGTTGTTCACCAATATTAAGAGCATAGACCTGCAAAGTATCAACAAGTGAAAAATAGTTTATCTAGTCTTTATTTCTTTCATAAATAAAGCATAATTATATATGGTAAATGCTTTTGTTGTATTTTTACAGTGGTTTGGATGGTTGCCCTAGTCTGTTTGACCTCCTCTGCTGAATAATATAGGTTGGAAAATAGCACCTTTACTTCCTTTGTTGAACCTGCAAAAACAAAATAATACGTTTAGTAGAGCAACTAATCAAAATATGGCAATTCATTCCATCCAAATAAGATAAGCATTATCCAATTAATTTTCAATTAACATTCATTCCTCGATTAATAACCGTAAAAAAATATACAACACGTACAGGTTGCTTTAGGGTGAAAAAATGCGCCCAAAACAACACTATTGGGTAATTTAACTGCCACGTGACCTGAGTAACTCGAAATTTCGACTTATTAACATTACAAGAATGGCCAAAGTTATTTTAGATGGTATAAGATATAGTAGGCAGTGCCTTTGAACGATGGAGATGGAGAAACGGGTGCCTGGACAAAAACTATTGAAATTTAACTTAAACTTAGTAATGGCATGTACACACCCGACATAAAAAATACAAGGCTTCCTTTAATTTGTACGTTCAGGCGTTCTTCAGACGTTGTATTGTATCCCATCTGTTCGAACATATCTTTTCACTAATCATATTCTTCTCATCCCTGTAAAAAAACCGATCCTATACTTTACGTGTGGGACATCTGGGGAAAGTATCGCGGCGTGGCCAAAATAGGGCGTGCTGGGGCCTTTGTCAAAATTGTTGGACTGACTATATTTCTTGTAAAATCGGATGCTTTTATATTGTTCCCAACATATATATTATAACAAGTATCACTTTTATCAACTTTTATCAACACAATATGAATCAAAGTATTAGTAAATAATGAATAATGTTACAAAAACATTATTAGTATAAAGAAACGTGACAGACTAACTGGCCTATACACGTCATTTAAAACTTATTTAACACATGATATTGCACAGTTTTCAATAGGGTGGGTTTTGGACTTGTTGTTTCTCCATATGATGGTTGTATGTGTGCTTAAGAAAAAGAAACACCCTGTTAACACGGAAATGTGGAAAGTGTGATTTTACATCCCCCCCCCCTCCACAAAAAAGCGAAGGATATGTTCAGTATGTGTGGACAATTTGACCCTATAAAATTGTTCTGTTAAATAAATGTTAAAGGTGCTCTGTCAATGTGCAACAACTACACACAAAAGAAAGTATCTTGAATTCAATCCTTGCTTTCACCGGCAACCATTGAAAGTCGTGCAATGTAAGTCGAAATTTCGAGTTACTAAGTCGAAATTTCGAGATACTAAGTCGAAATTTCGAGTTAGTAACTCGAAATTTCGAGATAAGTAACTCAAAATTTCGAGTTAGTAAGTCGAAATTTCGAGTTACTAAGTCGAAATTTCGAGTTAGTAAGTAAATTTCGAGTTAGTAACTCGAAATTTCGAGGTAATGAAAAACATACACCTGGCACTAATGCTCTTCCGTAGATTTGACTTTTGTTTGATTGAAATTATCGTGAACTTAAAATTGAATTTGACAATTCAAGACAAAATGTGCATTAAAGTTTAATATTCATGTGATTCTAAGCCTAAGGGAATTTTTGGATCGATGTTTGAATTAAAATGTAAGAATTTTATCGTGTTAGGCCTACATTCTGTTGTATCTTTTATACGAGTCGAAAGAAGAAATGGCCGCCATTTACAAATTCTAAGTTTCAGGGGCGGAGGAATTTGTTTTCAAGAATTATTTCTTTGAACTGTAAGCCCCTTGTTTTACGAAATTCGCTATTTTAAAGTAGATTATTTTGTTATTTTGACAGTTTTTATGTGTTACATGATAAATAGAAAAACACGCTACTGTCTTTTGATATCAATTTTATCAGGCTCGGCTGATATGGGCAGAAAAGGCTCGGCAAGCCTCGCCCTTTCTAGCCCATATCAGCCTTGCCTGATAGCCGAGCCTTTTCTGCCCATATCAGCCGAGCCTGATAAAATTGATATCAAAAGACAGTAGCATGTTATTCTCTATATATCCCCGAATGAGTGGCCCGGCGACAGACGGCTGAAAATATATACTAAATCAAATTGAAATAAACGAATACGGCTTTAAGCTTTTTTCACAAAAGTTATCAAGAACGTATTTGCTTTTCTTTATCAATTTCGGAAAACTTTGAGTGACTATCCATGCCAATAGTTTGGAAGTTCGTGATTTTTCTGTGAGCAAGAGCTTTATTCATCAATGATCCTCTAAACTATTGTAACGGTCATAGCAATGAAATGTATAGAGAACAATATAACAAAAACAGGTTAGTAAATAATAACTGACCGGTTAAGCGTTCAGTAATTGATTTACACCGCTTTTAACAGGTATGTGGAGTGTATAAGTACCGTTACTCTGCATTACTTTTTTAAATTTCTCTCATTATGATATACAATAGTGCTTTCCCGGGAAACGACTTGGAAAGTGTTGAAATAATTTTATTAACACATTAAACAGTGATAAAGACTAATGAGGAAGTAAAATGTATATTACCTTTCCTGATTGTTTAATCATCTTCCTTTATTATACGTATATTTCGCTTGGTAAATGTTTTGCTTTTATAGCCTTTACTCATTGACCGATGTTTTTCATATTGGAAGGACTTAACTTACGGTAAGTGCAGTTATGGTCACTTGGATTAATCTCAAGGTCATTAGTACTGGAAATAAATTTTTGGACATATAAAGCTTTTTTTCATTGACTGAAGGTTTTCATAGTTTGCAGGTAGATACAGGGGTGATTCAATGGGCACTGATGTCAATGTAACAAGTGCTTAAATAAATACCGCTATCTATGCTTTTACTAACTTTATTTATTAACTGATGGCCATCATGTCTTTATTATTTTGAAAATATCTTGGATGATACCATCAATTTGGAAGAAGAATGTGGTCACGTAGGTCAAGGTCAGGTTTGCGAGCCTTATGTTCCTTATTTTTGCTCTTGCAGTTTCAATTTATTGACTGAGACTGATGTAATTTTACATGATACATTAGGTGTTCCTGTATCTAATGTATTGTTTTAAAAATTGATAGTGAAAATTGTCATAATCCTTTAAAAATTGCTAATCATTTTAATGACTTTTTTACTACTGTTGCTTCTAAGCTAGTGGATAAGTTACCTTGTGCTAGAAAAAAGTTTGACATTGACTCACAAGCTTTGTTAGATTTTTATAATGATAGAAATACTAAGAATAATAAAATGTACTTAAAACATGTGTCTGAGACATTTGTATATAAAGAGCTTAAGAATTTAAACTCATCAAAGAGTACTGGTTTAGATGAAATTCCTGCTAGAGTTTTAAAAGATGCAGCTTCATTTTTGAAAATACCAATTACTTTTATCATAAATATGTCAATTTCAGAAAATTATGTCCCTGATGACATGAAAGTAGCTAGGGTAAAACCTTTATATAAAAAGAACAGTAATCTTGAAGTAGGAAATTATAGACCTGTAAGCATTTTAAGCATTGTTTCAAAAATTTTAGAAAAATCAGTGTATTCTCAACTTGAAAAGTTTTTAGTTTATTGTATGAATTACAGTCAGGTTTTAGAAATTCCTATTCCACTGACACTTGTCTTATCCATCTTATGGATCATATCAGAAACAATAATTCCAAAGGATTATACACAGGCATGATAATGTTAGATCTACAAAAAGCATTTGATACTGTTGACCATGATATTTTATGTGGAAAATTGATATTGATGGGGATATCTAATACTGACTGGTTTATGTCTTATCTTAAAGGTAGAAAACAAACTGTTAGTGTTGATAATATTTTATCAGATTACATGCCTGTTACATGTGGGGTTCCCCAGGGCAGCATCCTGGGTCCTCTTTTATTTTTGTGCTATGTAAATGACATGAGAATTAGTATAGATCAAGAATGTAAACTTATTCTGTATGCCGATGACAGTGCAATTCTTTTTGCTCACAAAAATCCAAGTATTATTTCTCAAAAACTTGGACAAACACTAGAGTCTTGTTTTGGCTTGTAGATAACAAATTGTCACTTCATCTAGGAAAGACTGAATGTCTTATTTTTGGTTCCAAACGTAAACTAAAACAAGTTAAAGAGTTCAAAATTGTTTGTAATGGACATACTATTGAATCCACAAAATCTGTTAAATATCTAGGTTTAAATATTGATGATTCTTTGTCAGGTGAATCTATTGTTAATTGTATTCTTACAAAGGTGAATTCACGTCTTAAGTTTTTGTATAGGCAAGCAAATGTTTTAGATTTTAGGACTAGAAAATATTTATGCTCAGCACTAATACAATGTCACCTTGATTATGCATGTTCTTCTTGGTACCCGAGCCTGAACAAGTGTTTTAAAAATAAGCTTCAAATTTGTCAGAATAAAATTGTTAGATTTATACACGGTATGGGACCTAGAGATAGTGTCAATAATGTTATTCTTGCTAATATGTCTTTACTAAATGTAGAAAACAGAAATAAGCAATTACGTCTTAATCATGTTTATAAAATTGTTAATAACCAGTGCCCTTCATATATGATAGAAAATTTTATACCTGTTCGAGACATTCATTCTTATTCAACTCGGTCGAATCAGTAAAATTTTAGGGTCCCAGGAGTTATGGGAAAGATAATGTAACTTTTTTTCAAAAAGCAATTAATGATTGGAATTCCTTGCCAACATACATCAAAAAAATTAATAAGATAGGAGATTTCAAAAGCTCTGTGAAGGCCCATTTACTAGAACAGTTAGGCTAGTAAATCATAATTAAATCCACTAGTATGACTAGATATTGATCTCATTTTTATTGTTTTCTTTTTAGCAAAGTTAATGGAAATACTAAAGTTTGATATTTTACGTAAATGACATCTTCCAGTTTCCAAAGTTTTGTATTTTTCAATGTTTTTGTGTTTTATATTGTATATTATAGTAAGTATATATCCAAGGACCCCATTGGAAATAAGCCTTCGGGCTTTCATGGGCAATCCGAGGTTATTGCACACTACTCTATACATGTTTCCACTTACGTCCTTACATTTTATTAAACTAGTAAATTGATATCTAGTCATAGGAAAGAAAGAGTTTTAGATTTTGTTTTTAGTTATAATATTTTATTATTTAATGAGCCGTCTGTGATATTTATGTCTGACAAACTTCCGAAATATTTTATTACAATTGTGTCATCAGTTTTATATAAAATGCTTATGTGTTTGTTTTATGTATACATGTATGTGTGTTTTAACCTGAATAAATATCTATCTATCTATCTAATGGGGTAATTTGTGCTTAAACAGTTGGGTTTTTTCTCTCCAATTTTGCTCTGCATTTATTGAATGATGTGCATTGGAGCATTATTTCTGAAAGCTATATTTTAGGAGTTATGCCCCATTTTTGCCAAAATTGAATATCATTAGTAGAATAATTTAAAAACTATCAAAGCTATCAATTTGTAATACTTTATTATCATGACGAGACGAATATGTTAGATAATGGATATAGGTTTGATTGCATACTTTTAGAATTTATACCCCTTTTAACGTTATTATTGGTTGCCCTATGCGGAAATTTATACTACATGCGGTGCTTTTTTTATAAGATATGTTTTAAAAGAAATAAATTATCTGAACAGTGAACTGACGTTTAATGTCTAAGAAAGTTCTCTAATTTTGTGTATGGCATTGCGCATGCTCATTATTTTGATGGAAGTGTTCTCATAACTTTTTTATTATGGCTATTTACTTCATTTTAACCCAAATGAGAAAATGTATCTCCAGCGAACTTTCCATTTAGGTTTTTTTAAGACAAACCCTTATGGAAATCTTTATTAAATTTTGCTATGAGTGTTGTCACAACTTTTTGAATGCACATTTCATTTTATTTTATGCCAACATCCCTAAAGAAAGAAATGAATAAATATGTTGAGAGGCATATAGTTTTCTAACGCGTCCAACCTATCGTCCGTTGATTTTTCCGTCCGTCTAATCCGTTCTTTTGTCCGAACTTTTTCTAGTCCATAACTTTGTCATTAGTTTTATGGACGATTATCAAAATAAATTGTATAAATGTAGCATTTTATGGCAATGTGTCATTTGCAACATTAAGGTCTGACGCTCAAAGGTCAAGGACACACTCTGACTTCAAGGGCAATGTTTGATAAAAATGCACTGAACAAATCTGTCATTGATGGATGGATTAAAAAAAATATAATGCTTAAATGTGTTTGACATAATGACGACGTGCAATGCGCATGAATCAGGGCACTACCTCAAAGGTCTAAGTCCAAGGCCAGGTCAACAGTTAAAAAGATAATGGTTATACAATGTCAAAATATAACATTGGTAGTTGAACTGCCTTTGACATTGAGCTTCAAATGACATTGCCCGTCATTTTTGAAATTTTGGTTAAGTTGTCATAATTTCATTAATGTTCTTTTTTAGGATTTGTTGAACCCGTTTATTTGCTTGCTTTTAGAAAAATAGACTGATTCTGAGACTTGGATCCTCTATAAAATGCTAGAGGCATTTTGCAGTACAAGTGGTTTCTTGGTATATGTTACACATTATGGACATTTGTGGATACAGGTGGACACCAAACTTTAAAAAACAAAATGATCTTGACCACTTAAATGGCCATTTAAAGTGATAACTGAATTAGCGGCTAAATTGGTTTATCATAATGAATAACAGATCAAATAATATTTGGCTTGAGAATGTCATATATTCTTGAAGCCTTATGGTCTTGTTTTTCGGCTGGAGACAATGGTCTGCAGACTTAAGAATACCGAAATGCCATTAAGAAAATTCATAATTATTAACATCATAGTAACACAGCAGTAAATGTTACTGTTTACGGGTCAATAAGTAATATCTGTATGTATCTGGATAGGGCCTTAAAATTGAGATTGAAATATAAACATGTGCATGTGCACGCATTTTCAGCTGATAAATATGTAGGTTTTGCAGGCATCTCTAGAACAAGCCTCATATACTCAAAACTGAGCTGGAACCAATTCATTGAAGATAGGGTTGATTGACAATGGTAGAGAAGACGAATCAAAATTAAATACATCTTAGATGCAGACGGAATTTTTTTTTTTTTGGGGGGGGGGGGGGGGTGGTAATTGTAAGATCTTATATGTAGATCCCTAGGAATGGCTTTTTTATTCAAATTAACCACTGGGGAGGCAACAACTCTATCTTTATTACAAAGCGATTGATGAGTATGAACCCTTTTGGTTTTGTGCCTAATTTTCAGACTGTAAAAACTTGTAAAAGCCAAATTGATATTACATTCATACCCGTAGACAATTGTACCAAATGTTTATCACCGAAAACATAAGTAATCAGATGTCTTCAAAAGCTTATATGACTTTGATTACATTTAACTTTTTTTCAGTTACAGCTCTGAAAACGTCAGTATTCATAAATTATGTTTTGATAAACTTGGGTAGCCGGTTTCTAAAGTTCAAAATCTACTGCACTACTCAAGGCTTAATGTACTAGCGATAACTTTGATCAGCCTAGGTCAAAATCAAATGAGATTATGACATGATACCCTCATGATATAATTGTTCTGCAATGGAATCTAAGAGTCTCTCAAAATGAAAGGCTTAAAATCAAAAGGAATGCCTCCTGAGGTCTCTCAAAGCCAGTCAATCCTAATTTTTGTAAAATTACTGGTCTAAATTCCCAAACCTGACTGCTTGGTTATTTTCACATCTAATTGACTTGTATTCGTTTTCATCTTTAATCGCGCCTTTGCTACTTCCTTGAGTTGTATGAAATCAGAAAATAACATATCTATTTATCCAAGGACTATCGCCTTATCTGTATTAACACATGAACAAATAAATGGGTTCTCATTGTACGAGAGCGATATGAAATACATATGAGACCATATTGAGAGTTTTATTGCATAACAAAGTAAAGTTCTTTAAAGATTTCAGAATCAATTTCATACAGTACACACTGTACTGTCATATGATATTAGTTAGATAACGTGATGTAAATTTACCTTGCATATTAAAATTATGCTTTTGCAAAAATATGAAGTTAAACATATGACCTTTTTGACTTGTACATTTTCTTGCAAAGCCAATTTTCTATTGGGTGAACCATATAATTTGATCATTTTCACCCTTAGGAGATATATAATGGAGCTCATACATTCCGACTAAAAAATATGGCAGCCTCGGTTTGAGTCTGCTTGCAGACGGCAGTGTTAATGGACGATTCAAGTCTATCCATAAATCAGTTTGACGAAAACTTCACAAATAGAAAATATAAAATGTGTCCATTGTCTTTACAGGTCTTAAGACGCAAGAACAGAAAACAGGCAAATGAAATAATCAGAATTATTTCTTCATTGGGAAAGAGACGCCAAAAGAAATTTAACATTTGACAGAAAGATTCTCAGAATTATTACCTATACATAAACGGAAATATGGCAGAGGCAGGTAGTCGATCTCGAGCAGAAAGACAGGTAAGATCTGCATAGTTGTAGCAGCCGACACATTACTGTCTCATCAGTCGAAACCCTTGGTCCCCTTCCGCCAAACTTCTAATAAGCGCAATTCGGTTGCTGTCTGATATGGTCAAATGATGTTTCTCGTAAAAAGATTCGTATTCATAAATGAATCATTTGCATTTAAGGTAATCATGTCTTCTATTCATGAGGGAAGTTGCATGTGTTAAGAGAATGTGTTTTATTGATCACAGAACATTACTTCTTTTTAGCACATGTTATCACCTTATGGTTGAGCAAAAACTTTTTTTTAGGTATTAAGATGGTAATCCGAAACGGATCCAGAATTTTTTGCCATTTGGTGATTGAATTTGTTATAATAAATTTGAAATTTCTGAAGCATTCCACAGCTCAAAATTTAGTGTTCACGTACCTGTATTCTCCAGAATATTTTAGACTTTAACGTTACTGAAATGACTTTCTTTCTTTCAATGTTCAGATGCATTTTCGGTTTCACATTTTAGAATACACGTTTCTTAATTTCCCATTAAATGTCGGACATACAGGAGTGATACAATGTAAATATGAACCTTTCTGCATCCTAATTTTAATGATACTGCATAATTTATTTTATAATCCCATAAAACATCCTGAACGATATAATTTTGAAAGGAAATTTGGATACAATTTTACATTTAAGGCACATCATGCGCCAGAATCGAAAATATTTTTTGTTCTTTAGAAATGACACATGCTATTTATAACCAGAAACAGAGATGATGTTTCTATCATATGTTTATATGTAAGATTATTATCTGTTTTTAAGAGCAAAAATGTCTCAAAATAAAGTTCTTCTTTTGATTAAATTGCTTCGTGTTTTAGATGACTTATTGGTAAGTTTGTCCCATTATTTCAGAACACAGTAAATGTATAAATCTTAATCAGTATGATAGCAAAGTTTACTAGAAATAATAAATGTAGGTATGATCATTTCCCAAGCAGAATATTCAGCAAAAAGAAAGCATATTGTTTTTTATGGAAGAGCTCTTCCCAGACATTTAAATATAAGATAATAGAAATAAAACAAAGATTTATTGCTCAGAGTGATAGGGTACAGTACATGTGATCCGCAAATATTATATCTACTTTAATTGTTGTTTGATTTACTAGGGTAGCACAGTTGATGAAATATTCAAGTGTCAAATTTGCCAAAATGAAATGGAAGATTCGTCAATGACTCTTTGTGGACATCGATTCTGTACTAAATGCATCAAGGAATGGATAAAGCGGAAACAGAATTGTCCACAATGCAGACAATCAATAACTGCAAACTCCCTTATTGAGGACAAATCGTTTAAGGAAATTAAAAGTAAGAATAGTTTGTTAAATAGAATAAACCGGAATAAAATTTAAGCAAACTTAAATATCAAAACTTATTAACATATAGTCTGAGAAGCTGATTAAACTTTTGTGATATCATGCTCTGCTCCAATGGTAGGATACTACGTCACCGCGTACATGCCTAATGCTCCCAACGGACTGGGTTTTTTTGTTGTTTTTGTTGTTGACTCGAAGGCAAAATATTTTTTATTCTAAGAAATCATTATAATACCAAAGCATAATGTATCGCATCAAAGATTGGCTTTAGTACTTGGTATAATTTAAAAAAAACGTTTAAAGTTTTACTCTCTGGTTTCAGCCTTAACAAGGGATAAATTTTATTTGGGGTGAGCATTTAGGAAGCAAAACCTTTATCCCGTTTTCAAGACTAAACTAGGCAGTAAAACTTTTTGTTTTTAATTATATCAAACACTTAAGCCAATCATTGGTGCGCTACATTTTCAGCTCCTTTCCACAAAATAATATGTTGAGCTTTTGTGATCGCTTTTCGTCCGTCGTCCGTCTGTAAACTTTTACTTTAAACGACATCTCCTCATAAACCGCTAAGTCAATTTCATCCAAACTTCACAGGAATGTTCCTTTGGTAGTCAACTTTAAAAAATGTTCAAAGAATTTAATTCCATGCATAACTCTGGTGGCCATGGCAACCAAAAGAAAAAACTTAAAAATCTCCTTTTAAAAGCCAAAGAGCTAGAGCTTAAATATTTGGCATGAAACATTGTCTGGTCAGTATCTACAAAGTGTGTTCAAGTAAAAGCCATGGGGTCAAAATTACCCCCGTTCCGGGGGTCCTTGATTTTCCTTATTTGTATATAGTAAAAACTTAAAAAATCTTCTTTTAGAAATCCCAAATAGCAAGAGCTTAGATATTAAGCATGAAACAACTTCTAGTTTGTTCAAATAAAACCCATGGGGTTGAAATTGGCCTGCCCCAGGGGGATCATTGTTTTTCCCTAAAAATCTTCTTTTAAAAAACTCTTTGAGCTAGAGCTAAGATATTCAGCAGGAAACATCTTCTAATGAGAGTCTACCAAGTTTATTCAAATAAGGGCCCTGGGGTTAAAATTGGCCCCGCCCCGGGGTCATTGATTTTCCTTATATGTCTTAAAAAATTTTCTTTTAATAAAACCCAAACAGCTACAGTTAAGATACTAAGCATGAAATATCTTCTAGTAAGTGTCTACTAAGTTTGTTAAAATAAAAGCCCTGGGGCCAAAATTGGCCCCGCCCGGGGGTCATTGTTTTGCCCTTTATGTGTATAGTAAAAACTTAAAAGATCTTCTTTTAAAAAACCCAAAGTGCTAGAGCTTAGATATAAATCATGAAACATTTTCTAATGTGTGTCTACCAAGTTTGTTTCAAAAAGCCCCTGGGTTAAAATTGGCTCAGCCCCGGGGGCCTATACAGGTGAGCGATTTCAGAGCCATCATGGCCCTCTTGTGCTCAATGACGTAGAATTCTACCATTGCACTCTGTCATGACTGATCCGCATTTTATTTTGTTTAGATATGGAATTTTATTAGAAGAGGGAAGGCACACCCAATAAGAATTCACATTGCTCTTAGATTTTTAAAACAACTTTAATATATTTGATATTAACGTAAAGGTTTTTAATGGATTCACAATGAATTACTGTGAAGTTCATGCAAAATGTAAGCATTTGCAGGATTTACTTGAGAAAATATTTGGAACGATATATTATTTCCTCCTTATTTTAAAGTAGGCAACTAGATTCTTGAATTATGTTCCTTCGCAATAAATCTTATTTTATAGGGAAGTATAAAGAGGCCCAAGAACAATCAGAAAACAATCAACGAGGTAAGCAACATGTTTTTTTTTAATGTTTACAAAGCTTTACATCTGTTGTGTGAGTGAAAGAGTGAATTTGAAAGAATAATTACAAACTACCTGTATGATAAAAATATGTTTGGATTGGAATAATTGCTAAATGGTTAATACATGAATAAGACTTTCACAGTCAACACAACCACTTTATTCCACAGGGACTCTACACAGTGTTGGAATAATGCCAAAAGTAAGTCTAGAAAAAATACTGTATAATATTGTATATATTTTTTTCTAGAATTTCTTTAGTGTCATTGGCTGATTATTAACCATATCAAAGATTATTGAAATTAAATATTGATTAAACGTTCAATGAAACAATCTTACTCGTATAACACACTTTTGTAGAAATTTCATCATCAAATTTAGCTGTTTTATTAAAATATATTCCGAGCGTGTGTAATTCTATGGTTATTTTCGTTACGTTAGGTAATGAAATGTCTGTAGAAGAGTTGGGCAACATTTTACAGAGTGTTATGCCACAGCGAGATCAAGACATGAGAAACCTAACCGACAACCTCATCTCTATGAAAGATCAAGAAATAAGTCGACTTGAAGAAAATAAACGTGAACAGGCTGCCACTATTTGCAGATTATACGGTAAAATGTTCATGTTCATTAAACCGTAAGCTATAAGTAACGTTTAATATTAATAGAGGTAATATATATATACATCATATGTACCCTGAAAAGCTTTACGTTCTAGATATGTGAATGCCCAGTGACGGAGAATCCCCTTCTAATTCACCAACGTCAATTGATTTAAAAAAATAGAAGTAAGACGTAAAGTCTCACTAACTTTTCAAATATTATTGCATAATTAGCATATTTATGCTTCTTATAATAATCCTAAACATATTTTATACCTCCGCGTAGGGATTTCCATATGATGCGCAAGCGTTGATTTAAGGCCTTCGTGATGTATACTGGTAATCAATCTATATTCAAGATTAAGAAATGTGAACAAATGAAACATGCCTCTTATTGGAGGAAAATTAAGTGAACATATGATTTTATATTAGATAATGCTTTTGTAAATTTCTCAGATAACAAATTTTGATGCTTTAAAGACATTGCATAATTAAATGGACTTAATATTCCTTTGCACCAATGTTAAAGTGTTTAAAATTATATCTCTGCTGCCCAAAGTTAACAAGAGTTGTTTGAAATTTGAAAAGTAATAATTCAAATATGTATGTAATACAAAGATTTTGCGAGACATTTTTGGGCTCCGTTTATCGTTACATTCATATGGGCTAAGAAAAGAAAATAGTAAATTATTTTATGTTTGTTTTTAAGCTATATATGAAATGTTCGATTTTTGTCGGGTAGATGATTCTGTAATGTTAGTTGGCAACATTTAATATAACATTAACTATTGCGCAATGGTCAATTAAACTAATTATGATCTGTGAAGTCAATTTTAAATGATATCTAATTACATATGACAAGTCTGTACATTTTGCAGACGAAATTGAACGTCTAAAAGGTCAATTAGGTGACGATCTTCCCACTTTGACTGAAAGATCAACTCATCTACAAAATAAAGTGGATACACTTACAGAACAAAATCGACAATTTCAAGGTAAACTGTCATTTTCATTCATATATGATAGTCGAATTAAAGGTCTATGCTATAGTTTTCAAATCTTTCAAAAAGGCTATTTTTTATTTTTCATTAGTCTCTTTACTTATCAAACAAAGTTCTTTTCAAATTATTGGATTCCATGAAACTTTGTATTGCGCCAAGGATAAATGAGAAGGCTAACCAAAAAGTTACACTTAATGACTTAACAGCAAAACAAAAACAAAATACACATACATTCATTCAGTAGCACTTAACTTTTAAAAACAAGATCGGTGACCTTCAACTTAAAACATCTAAATATTCCAAGGTCACGCTAAGTTATATAAAATATGTTATTCAGTTTCCATTTTATAAAATGAAATAGAAAATAGAATCTTATAATATGAGAAAGAAATAAAAGAATGATCAATGAGGTATCATTTTTCATAAGGATTATTTCGCAGATTATTTAAAGGTTCATCATTTCTAAAAAAAGACCCTTTTAACATCCAAGCTTAAGTTCAGAAAAAAAGCCATAACTCGTTTACCATACTGTAAAATTTCTTTAAGATTTACATACATGTGTCCTTTAAGGTATATATCTGACTTATGTTGTCAATTCTTTAGTTCCTTATAGTGCCCATTGGGGTAGTTATTCCTTTATTTAGCAAAATATTTCTGAAACTATTATTCTAAATATACGAGTATATACATCAACCAGGATCTCCTCTATTACATTTTATGCCTTCTTCTTATAATTGATTGTCAGATAAAAACAGAACACTTGAGGCCAGTTTGGCATCATTAGAAGAAGGTTCATTACAAGCACAGCAACACAGGAAAAATTTAGAAGAGCAGCTTAAGGCGAAAACAAAAGAAATGCTAACAGTAAAGGCTCAATTTGGTGAGTATCATTTATGGTAATTCGAAATTATATATTTTTATTGTACGCTGCATATCCTTTTCATATAAAGCAAGGTAACTTCGGATTAAATCATATATTTTAACATGTAATTTTCGTAAAATCTAATGCATTTTTCTTTCAAATGAAGTTTCTTTTTTATAAAATTGTATGTTTATATGTTTGCAGATGGTGTTAACAAAGAAAACTTAACAAAGTTAACAAAGAAAACTTAGTTTCTTTTTTATAAAATTGTATGTTTATATGTTTGCAGATGGTGTTAACAAAGAAAACTTACACCTGAAGTTGCAACTTCAAAGTACAAAAGGTATTTCATGTTAAACAAGCAATTAAATATCTGAGATATCAATGACAAATTACAAAGTTTGATGAATTATTTAGTCAGTCAATTCATTACCATTAAATTGTAGTTACTTTATATTAGATAGTACATCTTAAGTAAATGAACATACTGTCTTGTTTTAAGAAAAACACGAAAGTTTTAATTCAATAGATATTTTATCGTAACCTAAACAATGGAAAATAATTTAGGTTCTAATTTATAGATGATTTGAAATCACAAAAGGAACAGTTAGAGAAGAGCGAAACTACCACAACACAATTAAAAGAGCTTCTAGATCAAATGTTTCAGCAGAAACAATTATCGGATGGTGAGTTTCGTATGCCTTTCTGATTATACCCCACTTCAAAAACCAAGGAACTTCAAACTTGCAATGATGATTGTTGATGACCAGTTGATGAACCCTACTGATTTGGGGTCAATATATCAAAGGTCAAGGTCACATTGACCTTGTAGGTAAAATGGTTCCTGATCAATATCTAAGGAAAAATTACCTTATATGCCAAACAGCTTCCTGTCAATAACAACCCATGAACCCTTCGCATTCAAAACTCACAAACGTATTGCTTTTGGTCAAAAGATGACCTCAATGGATTTTTAGGTTCAAGGGTCAGAGGTCAATATCACATTGACCTTATAGGTAAAACAGATTCTGATCAATATCTCAACAACACATGGGGCCTTTATCTTCACACTTCACAGGTACATTGGTCTTGGCCAGTAGATAACCACTATTGATTTCAAAGTCACATTGATCTTGTACAGACGGTTTCCTTTCCGACCAATAACTCAACAACTCAAGTTGCCTTGTTGATCTTTTTATTAAACTAAAAATGCCTTTGGTACACACATTTCATGGTCTTATGTAATATAACAAATTGGCTGTCGTTAAGGAGACCTAAATGATTCATAACATGTATGCATATTTTATTTGGTAGGATTTCTGATAACTTAAAATAAAATTGCTGCACACGGCCTTTATGGTCACAATGACCTAGTGACTAGTCATGGCCGGTAGATAACCTCTATTGCTTTCTTGGTCATTAGGTCAAAAGTCAGTCATAATAACCTGACCACATGACTAATTGGCTGTCGATAGTGGGCATTGTAGGAACACATTTGACTCGGAGCACATTGGTCTTACGTAAGGCCGATGCGGTCGCATTTGTCCCACATGAGACAAATGGGACCTCAAATGTCTACCAAAAAACACCCATTTGTGTGACAGATGTGCTCCGATCAAGTTCTAAAGGGACAAGAAAGCACATTTGTCTCATATTCTTTAAGGGACAAGAAAGCACATTTGTCGCGTGTCAGTTTTAATGAATTATTTGTCATATATATTCCCACGGCAGAAATGTTTTCGCCGTTTAACCTCATGTCAAGTTCAATCATCAAGAAATATTGCGAATGCTTTTTTAGCTCGACTATTCGATAAGAATAAGTAGAGCTATTGTAGTCACCCGAGCGTCGGCGTCGGCGTCGGCGTCGGCGTAACCACTTATGTTAAAGTTTTTGTAATAGTTCAAATATTTTCAAAGTCCATTGACATATGGCTTTGAAACTTTGCACACTTGTTCACCATCATGACCCCAACCTATAGACAGGAGGAGGTAACTGTATCAAGCATTTTGACAGAATTATGCCCCTTTTTCGACTTAGAATTTACGTTAAAGTTTTTGTAATAGTTCAAATATTTTCAAAGTCCATTGACATATGGCTTTGAAACTTTGCACACTTGTTCACCATCATGACCCCAACCTATAGACAGGAGGAGGTAACTGTATCAAGAATTTTGACAGAATTATGCCCCTTTTTCGACTTAGAATTTACGTTAAAGTTTTTGTAATAGTTCAAATATTTTCAAAGTCCATTGACATATGGCTTTGAAACTTTGCACACTTGTTCACCATAATTTACCCAACCTGTAAACAGGAGGAGGTAACTGTATCAAGCATTTTGACAGAATTATGCCCCTTTTTCGACTTAGAATTTACGTTAAAGTTTTTGTAATAGTTCAAATATTTTCAAAGTCCATTGACATATGGCTTTGAAACTTTGCACACTTGTTCACCATCATTACCCCAACCTGTAAACAGGAGGAGGTAACTGTATCAAGCATTTTGACAGAATTATGCCCCTTTTTCGACTTAGAATTTACGTTAAAGTTTTTGTAATAGTTCAAATATTTTCAAAGTCCATTGACATATGGCTTTGAAACTTTGCACATTGTTCACCATCATTACCCCAACCTGTAAACAGGAGTAGGTAACTGTATCAAGCATTATTTTTTACTATCAAGCACTAGAATAGTCGAGCGTTGCTGTCCTACCGACAGCTCTTGTTATGAAATCTTAACCCTAAAACCTAAAGTGGAACTATTAATTCTAATACATGTAACTCGTGGTGGCTGATTTGCTACGCTTTGTGCGTCGCATTGTCGTTGGTGACAACACGACAAAACGGCCAAACGGCGCATTGTCGCACTGTCGTCTTGTCGTCCTGTCGCTAACGATGCACACCAAACGGCGTGTTGTCGTGCGGCGTGTTGTCGTGATATCACATTGTCGCGTTCGGTTCAAATCGAAGGATTAGCTTATAAGCCAAGCGACAGGGCGATATCGTCACAACGTGCCAAACGACATCGCGCCGTTTGGCATGCTTCGCTTGAGACAAGACGACAGTGCGACAACGCGACGTTTGGCGCTTTGTCGTGTTGTCGCTAGCGACAAGACGAAAAGGCGATAACGGTATAGGTTATGTTGTCGCTAAAAAATGGCGAGGCCGTTAGACCGAGACAATTTTTTTCAGAAACATCCCGAGGTGTCGCCCAGCCAGTGTTATATCCTCGTAACTAACGGGTTTCATATACTATAACTGTTTTATCGCAATGGCATAATGTTTACTTTTTTTGTAATAGAAATAAATAAATTAATAAATAAATCGTTAGCTACATTACAGTTATTTATGATAAGGCAGTTTTTTTCAAGTTGTTTTCGCTGCAGCAAAAAAAAAAGATATACAAAAGACATCCACTGTTAGAGGCGAATTGTAAAACTGTTACCAAAATTGATTCAAAATTAAAGGGCTTTTTTTCAGTGGAAATTGTTTATTCAGCGGATGTACCTTTTGATTAAAATGAGAGTAAATTTCATTTCATAAATTATCTTTGTTTATATTTTTCATTGTATTTATTTATTTTATTTTATTGATTCCTATTTATTTATTTATTTTGCTACTGGGAATGTCCGTTACTACTGCCCCATTGGAGCCTCTGTGAAAACAACTATATTGATAAATAAAAAATCAACCGCTGTATAGCAGTCGAGTTTTTTTCTTATATGAATCAATGAAAAAAACTGTACTGTTATATATCAATACAGTTTTCAAATGCTCATTGAAGTGTACTGAGTATAATGGGTTAGTAAGAACAAAAGAAAAGTTCCAAACCGTGCGATCAATAAAACTTCAAGCATCGGAAGGAAACGTGTCACAATTAAAAGCGATAAGAATAGACTGGCAGCATACTAGTATAAGCTTGGGTTCCGAATACTGCACTAATATACATTTCATTGTGACATGCAGAACAGGGATATTCTTTAAGTTAATATATGACTCCTATGCAGAGGCAGTATGTTTTTGATTGACCGGAAGTTACCAAAAAACGGTATTATAAATACAGAAAACACAGAACAATGGCAAGAAGTCGTTATACGGACGGGCATAATTATTATTACCTTTTTAGAATTTAATGGAAGAATGTGAGACATGTGCTTCGAGTATCATTTCTATTGTGTGCTCATTTCCAATTTGTCGCAAATAGGACATCGGTCACACCTCGTGAGACAAATGTGCTCCTACAGGCAAACATGTTTTACAAACATATCTTGTTCATTTTAATATTTTAAGCGTTAAATGTTTGGGTCACAACCAAATAGAACTAAATATAATTTTCTAGCTTCATTTAGTATACATTCTTAAAATGATAAAGGCTTTTGTGTGTTGTAACTTACAGTATATTTGATATTTTGATTGAAGCTGAACTAGATGCATCACGACAAATGTGTCTGCAGCTGGCTCAGCAGGTCAAGGAACTACATATGTACGAGGTGATGTATTCTAAAGCTTCCCAACAACTAGATTATCTTAACAATACTGTGGTGCCACAGAAGGATTCTGCTATAGACCAATTGCAACAAAAAATAACAGATCTGATCAGTAAGTAGAAACATGTGTTAGTATATCCTGTTGTTGTTGTTTTTTGTTTTTTTTTGTTTGTTTTCCAGGTACACTTCATATTCCATATATACTCTGCGAATTATAGACAGCTTCTTGTTGATATCGTTTTTAGCTCGACTTTTCTATGAAAAGGGGAGCTATCCTACTCGCCCCGGCGTCGGCGTCGGCGTCGGCGTCGGCGTTGGCGTCACACCTTGGTTAAGTTTTTCGTACCACCCCACTTTATTTCAGAAGTATTACAAGTATGGCTTTGAAACTTACCATACTTGTTCACCATCATAACCTCCATCTACAGACAAGAGTACATAACTCTGTCAAGGTTTTTGACAGAATTATGGCCCTTTTTTGACTTAGAAAGTGTATTGAGCTTGGTTAAGTTTTTTTGTACCACCTCACTTTATTTCAAAACCATTGGAGGTATTGCTTTGAAACTGACCATACTTGTTTACCATCACGACCTTCATCAACAGACAAGAGGACATAACTCTGTCAAGGTTTTTGACAGAATTATGCCCCTTTTTGACTTAGAAAATACATTGAATATGGGTAAAAATCCACTTATTGCCTTAACCCTTTGAGATATTGCTTTGAAACTTTTAATGCTATTTCACATCATTACCCCCATCTGTACGCAAGAGAAGGTAACTCTGTCAAGGATTTGTTTTAAAAATTAAGGCCTTTTATCGACTTAGAATCTTTGGTTAAGTTTTTAGTACCAGTCCACTTTTTGACTGAACTGTTTGAGATATTAATTTGAAAGTTGGAATACTTGTTTACAATCATGATTCCCAAACATGTCCAGGAGAAGGTAATTCTGTCAAAGATTTTATTTGAATTATGGCCCTTAACTGTCAATGTTTTGTATTATAGGCAAGCACTAAAAAACTTAAAAAATCTAAAAAAATTCATTCCTATCCACTTGTTCACTTTACCATAAATTATGTCATAATAAAATAATTCTTCACTAAATATCTTAATGCTCATGGCCATTGTTCACTTTAAAAATACAGAGATTCTTGTATTGCCTTTTACTGCAAAAACTTTTTTTATTGGCAAGCAATAAAAAAGTCGAGCGCGCTGTCTTACGGACAGCTCTTGTTTATTGTTGTTGTTTAAAAAAACTAAACTAAATACGATAGATGGTAAAGAAATGATTCTATAAATACATAATGAATTTCTTTTACTTTTTATTCCTTTTTAGTCCCCTACCGGTTTAACCGGAGGGGACTTTAGGTTTACCCTCCGTCCGTCCGTCTGTCCGTCCGTCTGTTTGTCAGTCAGTCCGTCCGTCCACAAAACTGGATCCCGCGATAACGCAAAAAGTACTGAAAATATTTTTATGAAACTTGATATATGGATAGATGGCAGTATGGAGATTATACACGTCTTTTTCTTTTGTTCCTATGTAGAAAATTCTGGTTGCTATGGCAACAAATAGTCTGAAAATATGGCAAATTTAACACATAAACTGGATCCAGTGATAACTCAAAAAGTTCTGAAAATATTTTTTGAAACTTGAAATATGGGTAGATGGCAGTCTGGAGATTATGCACATCTTTTTCTTTTCTTCCTATGTTGAATATTCTGGTTGCTATGGCAACAAATAGTCTGAAAATATGGCAAATTTAACACATAAACTGGATCCAGTGATAACTCAAAAAGTACTGAATTGCTATGGCAACAAATAGCCTGAATTTCAAGATTTCTGATTTTAAATTTTTTCAGCTTTTTCACCATAAGTTCTTTATTTCTTAAGGTGTTTACTTCAAACTTTAAATATAGAATTTTTATGAAAAAAAAATGTTGTCTTTTTTAAAATAACTTCTTTATTATTTTTAAATAACTTTTTTATTTCCAAATGTATCTACTTCAAACTTCATATATATGTTTTTTATTATCACTCAACATTTTGAGAAGGTTAAATACTCTAGCAAGACTATTTCCAGAATTATGTCCCCCTTGAACTTAGATTTTTTTCGAGAAATTGGTATTTTTTACTCCAACTTCTTCATTCCTTATAGGATTTACTTTAAAATCCCACATCGTAATAATATGACAAGGTTGTATAAACATAATTTCCTTACTAGGCAAAAAAACTTAACACATTACTGTGATATAGACAAACTTAGAACTCAAAAGATTTAAGTTCATTCATGTCATTCATTCACTGGTAAAATTGAATGGCCAATGGCCCATCAGAATGTTGCTGGGGTTCTAACCGGTAGGGGACTTATGGATTGCTTGCAATACTATGATAATTGTTTGTTTATAATCAGATGAGGTGGCGGATTTACAAAGAAACAATATTCCACAAGCAGAGCATGTGGAAATTCTTCAGACAAGACTAGCAGAGACGAGACAAGAACTTAAACAGTATTATGGTAAGTTAAATTTACTATTGTCTAGGTTTCTTGTTGTTTTGAAACAATGACAGAAACGAATGTGATAATAGATCTTAATCAATATAAGTAACTTTTAAGTTATGAGATTTTTATCCCTCATGTACAGACTCAATCAAACCGAGTCTGCAAATTTCATGTAATTTTGTTGCGATTAATGCTTCCGAGGGATCACTTTGTTCCCTGTTTTTTTCTTTTATTAATTCTTGACATATAAAGCCTTTATAAACAGGTGGACAATCTTGGGTCACCATAACTCTATTACTCTCTTGTTGATGATAATTTGTTCATTGAATTACCGCATTTCCTTGTTGATCTTGTTTATCATATTTTATTATTTGTTTAGTAGAGATTATAATTTCATTTATATTCCTAGCATTAGTTCCAGACCATTTGCTCTCTTTTCTATGGGCGTCGAACAGTTGTGTTTGTTAGTACCTTACAGGTGGTCCTGTGTTGCTGGGTATATTGAGGAGTGCGTTTAGTAGATGTCATCCTTCCTTGTTTTTTTCATTTCAAATGTTAGTTCTTAGGGAAACACAATCATGATATAAAAGTATATTATATTTTGCGACTTGCTTATTTTCTATAATTCCAAATATCTCTGTTATCTTCAACGTTTTTTATTATTTTAATGAAGAGGACAAATATGGAACCAAAATGGCTAGCTTAGAGAGGAGGAATGAAGCTATGAAAAAACATGTGACTGAAATGGAAACTGAACTGAAAAATCGAGAGGATGTTGGAGGTAATAAAATATTTGTTAAATATTTAACAAATCTTTTATTAAAAAGCAACTCTATATTATTAAGACGCATATTGAAACATCGTAAACTAGTTAATTTCAAGATTAGAAATGCTCATAATTCTGTATTTATTGATACACAAGCCTTGCTTCATTGCTTATAAATATTAGCTGAGGTTCCATTATAATCTTTTCATTCACCACTGATTTTCTCAAGTATTAATTTTTCTTCTACGATATAAACTTATGAATTGATATCTCACTGCGTATGTACCAATTTTTTTTGTCACCTAACGGATTCCAATTATATTTAAATTGTGAGAGCTAATCTTTAATCTAATACTTTCGAGTATTGATAAATAAAAAATCAACCGCTGTATAGCAGTCGAGTTTTTTTCTTATATGAATCAATGAAAAAAACTGTACTGTTATATATCAATACAGTTTTCAAATGCTCATTGAAGTGTACTGAGTATAATGGGTTAGTAAGAACAAAAGAAAAGTTCCAAACCGTGCGATCAATAAAACTTCAAGCATCGGAAGGAAACGTGTCACAATTAAAAGCGATAAGAATAGACTTGCAGCATACTAGTATAAGCTTGGGTTCCGAATACTGCACTAATATACATTTCATTGTGACATGCAGAACAGGGATATTCTTTAAGTTAATATATGACTCCTATGCAGAGGCAGTATGTTTTTGATTGACCGGAAGTTACCAAAAAAACGGTATTATAAATACAGAAAACACAGAACAATGGCAAGAAGTCGTTATACGGACGGGCATAATTATTATTACCTTTTTAGAATTTAATGGAAGAATGTGAGACATGTGCTTCGAGTATCATTTCTATTGTGTGCTCATTTCCAATTTGTCGCAAATAGGACATCGGTCACACCTCGTGAGACAAATGTGCTCCTACAGGCAAACATGTTTTACAAACATATCTTGTTCATTTTAATATTTTAAGCGTTAAATGTTTGGGTCACAACCAAATAGAACTAAATATAATTTTCTAGCTTCATTTAGTATACATTCTTAAAATGATAAAGGCTTTTGTGTGTTGTAACTTACAGTATATTTGATATTTTGATTGAAGCTGAACTAGATGCATCACGACAAAGGTGTCTGCAGCTGGCTCAGCAGGTCAAGGAACTACATATGTACGAGGTGATGTATTCTAAAGCTTCCCAACAACTAGATTATCTTAACAATACTGTGGTGCCACAGAAGGATTCTGCTATAGACCAATTGCAACAAAAAATAACAGATCTGATCAGTAAGTAGAAACATGTGTTAGTATATCCTGTTGTTGTTGTTTTTAGCTCGACTATTCGATAAGAATAAGTAGAGCTATTGTAGTACCCCGAGCGTCGGCGTCCGCGTCGGCGTCGGCGTAACCACTTATGTTAAAGTTTTTGTAATAGTTCAAATATTTTCAAAGTCCATTGACATATGGCTTTCAAACTTTGCACACTTGTTCACCATCATGACCCCAACCTGTAGACAGGAGAAGGTAACTCTATCAAGCATTTTGACAGAATTATGCCCCTTTTTGGACTTAGAATTTACGTTAAAGTTTTTGTAATAGTTCAAATATTTCCAAAGTCCATTGATATATGGCTTTGAAACTTTGCACACTTGTTCACCATCATGACCCCAACCTGTAGACAGGAGGAGGTAACTCTATCAAGCATTTTGACAGAATTATGCCCCTTTTTGGACTTAGAATTTACGTTAAAGTTTTTGTAATAGTTCAAATATTTTCAAAGTCCATTGACATATGGCTTTGAAACTTTGCACACTTGTTCACCATCATGACCCCAACATGTAGACAAGAGGAGGTAACTCTATCAAGCATTTTGACAGAATTATGCCCCTTTTTGGACTTAGAATTTAAAGTTACAAGTTAAAGTAAACCAAAACTTAGAAGTTTAAGTTTAAAGTTAAAGTAATCCAAAACGGCCAAACGGCGCATTGTCGCACTGTCGTCTTGTCGTCCTGTCGCTAACGATGCACACCAAACGGCGTGTTGTCGTGCGGCGTGTTGTCGTGATATCACATTGTCGCGTTCGGTTCAAATCGAAGGATTAGCTTATAAGCCAAGCGACAGGGCGACATCGTCACAACGTGCCAAACGACATTGCGCCGTTTGGCATGCTTCGCTAGAGACAAGACGACAGTGCGACAACGCGACGTTTGGCGCTTTGTCGTGTTGTCGCTAGCGACAAGACGAAAAGGCGATAACGGTATAGGTTATGTTGTCGCTAAAAAATGGCGAGGCCGTTAGACCGAGACAATTTTTTTCAGAAACATCCCGAGGTGTCGCCCAGCCAGTGTTATATCCTCGTAACTAACGGGTTTCATATACTATAACTGTTTTATCGCAATGGCATAATGTTTACTTTTTTGTAATAGAAATAAATAAATTAATAAATAAATCGTTAGCTACATTACAGTTATTTATGATAAGGCAGTTTTTTTCAAGTTGTTTTCGCTGCAGCAAAAAAAAAAGATATACAAAAGACATCCACTGTTAGAGGCGAATTGTAAAACTGTTACCAAAATTGATTCAAAATTAAAGGGCTTTTTTCAGTGGAAATTATTTATTCAGCGGATGTACCTTTTGATTAAAATGAGAGTAAATTTCATTTCATAAATTATCTTTGTTTATATTTTTCATTGTATTTATTTATTTTATTTTATTGATTCCTATTTATTTATTTTTTTTGCTACTGGGAATGTCCGTTACTACTGCCCCATTGGAGCCTCTGTGAAAACAACTATATTGATAAATAAAAAATCAACCGCTGTATAGCAGTCGAGTTTTTTTCTTATATGAATCAATGAAATATATATCAATACAGTTTTCAAATGCTCATTGAAGTGTACTGAGTATAATGGGTTAGTAAGAACAAAAGAAAAGTTCCAAACCGTGCGATCAATAAAACTTCAAGCATCGGAAGGAAACGTGTCACAATTAAAAGCGATAAGAATAGACTTGCAGCATACTAGTATAAGCTTGGGTTCCGAATACTGCACTAATATACATTTCATTGTGACATGCAGAACAGGGATATTCTTTAAGTTAATATATGACTCCTATGCAGAGGCAGTATGTTTTTGATTGACCGGAAGTTACCAAAAAACGGTATTATAAATACAGAAAACACAGAACAATGGCAAGAAGTCGTTATACGGACGGGCATAATTATTATTACCTTTTTAGAATTTAATAGAAGAATGTGAGACATGTGCTTCGAGTATCATTTCTATTGTGTGCTCATTTCCAATTTGTCGCAAATAGGACATCGGTCACACCTCGTGAGACAAATGTGCTCCTACAGGCAAACATGTTTTACAAACATATCTTGTTCATTTTAATATTTTAAGCGTTAAATGTTTGGGTCACAACCAAATAGAACTAAATATAATTTTCTAGCTTCATTTAGTATACATTCTTAAAATGATAAAGGCTTTTGTGTGTTGTAACTTACAGTATATTTGATATTTTGATTGAAGCTGAACTAGATGCATCACGACAAAGGTGTTTGCAGCTGGCTCAGCAGGTCAAGGAACCACATATGTACGAGGTGATGTATTCTAAAGCTTCCCAACAACTAGATTATCTTAACAATACTGTGGTGCCACAGAAGGATTCTGCTATAGACCAATTGCAACAAAAAATAAACAGATCTGATCAGTAAGTAGAAACATGTGTTAGTATATCCTGTTGTTGTTGTTTTTAGCTCGACTATTCGATAAGAATAAGTAGAGCTATTGTAGTACCCCGAGCGTCGGCGTCCGCGTCGGCGTCGGCGTAACCACTTATGTTAAAGTTTTTGTAATAGTTCAAATATTTTCAAAGTCCATTGACATATGGCTTTGAAACTTTGCACACTTGTTCACCATCATGACCCCAACATGTAGACAAGAGGAGGTAACTCTATCAAGCATTTTGACAGAATTATGCCCCTTTTTGGACTTAGAATTTACGTTAAAGTTTTTGTAATAGTTCAAATATTTTCAAAGTCCATTGACATATGGCTTTGAAACTTTGCACACTTGTTCACCGTCATGACCCCAACCTGTAGACAGGAGGAAGTAACTCTATCAAGCATTTTGACAGAATTATGCCCCTTTTTGGACTTAGAATTTACGTTAAAGTTTTTGTAATAGTTCAAATATTTTCAAGGTCCATTGACATATGGCTTTGAAACTTTGCACACTTGTTCACCATCATGACCCCAACTGTAGACAGGAGGAAGTAACTCTATCAAGCATTTTGACAGAATTATGCCCCTTTTTGGACTTAGAATTTACGTTAAAGTTTTTGTAATAGTTCAAATATTTTCAAGGTCCATTGACATATGGCTTTGAAACTTTGCACACTTGTTCACCATCATGACCCCAACCTGTAAACAGGAGGAGGTAACTATATCAAGCATTTTTTTTTATTATCAAGCACTAAAAATAGTCGAGCGTTGCTGTCCTACCGACAGCTCTTGTTTTTTTGTTTTTTTTTCCAGGTACACTTCATATTCCATATATACTCTGCGAATTATAGACAGCTTCTTGTTGATATCGTTTTTTATTGTTGTTGTTTTAAAAACTAAACTAAATACGATAGATGGTAAAGAAATGATTCTATAAATACATAATGAATTTCTTTTCCTTTTTATTCCTTTTAGTCCCCTACCGGTTTAACCGGAGGGGACTTTAGGTTTACCCTCCGTCCGTCCGTCTGTCCGTCCGTCTGTTTGTCAGTCAGTCCGTCCGTCCACAAAACTTGATCCCGCGATAACGCAAAAAGTACTGAAAATATTTTTATGAAACTTGATATATGGATAGATGGCAGTATGGAGATTATGCACGTCTTTTTCTTTTGTTCCTATGTAGAAAATTCTGGTTGCTATGGCAACAAATAGTCTGAAAATATGGCAAATTTAACACATAAACTGGATCCAGTGATAACTCAAAAAGTTCTGAAAATATTTTTTGAAACTTGAAATATGGGTAGATGGCAGTCTGGAGATTATGCACATCTTTTTCTTTTCTTCCTATGTTGAATATTCTGGTTGCTATGGCAACAAATAGTCTGAAAATATGGCAAATTTAACACATAAACTGGATCCAGTGATACCTCAAAAAGTACTGAATTGCTATGGCAACAAATAGCCTGAATTTCAAGATTTCTGATTTAAATTTTTTCAGCTTTTTCACCATAAGTTCTTTATTTCTTAAGGTGTTTACTTCAAACTTTAAATATAGAATTTTTATGAAAAAAATGTTGTCTTTTTTAAATAACTTCTTTATTATTTTTAAATAACTTTTTTATTTCCAAATGTATCTACTTCAAACTTCATATATATGTTTTTTATTATCACTCAACATTTTTGAGAAGGTTAAATACTCTAGCAAGACTATTTCCAGAATTATGTCCCCCTTGAACTTAGATTTTTTTCGAGAAATTGGTATTTTTTACTCCAACTTCTTCATTCCTTATAGGATTTACTTTAAAATCCCACATCGTAATAATATGACAAGGTTGTATAAACATAATTTCCTTACTAGGCAAAGAAACTTAACACATTACTGTGATATAGACAAACTTAGAACTCAAAAGATTTAAGTTCATTCATGTCATTCATTCACTGGTAAAATTGAATGGCCAATGGCCCATCAGAATGTTGCTGGGGTTCTAACCGGTAGGGGACTTATGGATTGCTTGCAATACTATGATAATTGTTTGTTTATAATCAGATGAGGTGGCGGATTTACAAAGAAACAATATTCCACAAGCAGAGCATGTGGAAATTCTTCAGACAAGACTAGCAGAGACGAGACAAGAACTTAAACAGTATTATGGTAAGTTAAATTTACTATTGTCTAGGTTTCTTGTTGTTTGAAACAATGACAGAAACGAATGTGATAATAGATCTTAATCAATATAAGTAACTTTTAAGTTATGAGTTTTTTTATCCCTCATGTACAGACTCAATCAAACCAAGTCTGCCAATTTCATGTAATTTTGTTGCGATTAATGCTTCCGAGGGATCACTTTGTTTCCTGATTTCTTTTTTCTTTTATTAATTCTTGACATATATAGCCTTTATTAACAGGTGGACAATCTTGGGTCACCATAACTCTCTTACTCTCTTGTTGATGATAATTTGTTCATTGAATTACCGCCTTTCCTTGTTGATTTTGTTTATCATATTTTATTATTTGTTTAGTAGAGATTATAATTTCATTTATATTCCTAGCATTAGTTCTTGCAGACCATTTGCTCTCCTTTCTATGGGCGTGGAACAGTTGTGTTTGTTAGTACCTTACAGGTGGTCCTGTGTAACTGGGTATTTTGAGGAGTGCGTTTAGTAGATGTCATCCTTCCTTGTTGATCTTTCATTTCAAATTTTAGTTCTTAGGGAAACACAATCATGATATAAAAGTATATTATATTTTGCGACTTGCTTATTTTCTATAATTTCAAAATATCTCTGTAACCTTCAACGTTTTATATTATTTTAATGAAGAGGACGAATATGGAACCAAAATGGCTAGCTTAGAGAGGAGGAATGAAGCTATGAAAAAACATGTGACTGAAATGGAAACTGAACTGAAAAATCGAGAGGATGTTGGAGGTAATAAAATATTTGTTAAATATTTAACAAATCTTTTATTAAAAAGCAACTCTATATTATTAAGACGCATATTGAAACATCGTAAACTAGTTCATTTCAAGATTAGAAATGTTCATAATTCTGTATTCATGAATACACAAGCCTTGTCTTCATTGCTTATAAATATAAGCTGAGGTTCCATTATAATCTTTTCATTCACCACTGATTTTCTCAAGTATTAATTTTTCTTCTACGATATAAACTTATGAATTGATATCTCACTGCGTATGTACCAATATTTTTTTTTGGTCACCTAACGCATTCCAATTATATTTAAATTGTGAGAGCTAATCTTTAATCTAATACTTTCGAGGTACGTCTATCAACTGCTAAAAAAGACATTTGTTTTATCTAAAATAATTTGAAATAATCTGTTTCCCTACCTTTATTCACGATAACCAATGCGTACTCTCATTCGCACGATGTTTAGCGGAATCAGTCCCTATGCGTTCCAACGATGCTTACCTTAGGCTAGTTAATTATACCCCCGCACAACGAAGTTGTAAGGGGGTATACTGGAATCAGCTTGTCCGTCCGGCCATCTGGCCGTCCGGCCGTCCGTCGGTTTTTCCTTGTCCGCCCAAAAACTTAAGATTCCTTTGACCCACAGTCTTCATATTTGACATGGAGGTTAGTCATGATAAGTAGATTACCCCTATTGATTTTGAGGTCACTGGGTCAAAGGTCAAGGTCACAGGGGCCTTGACTGAAAAAAGCTTGTCCGCCCAATAACTTAAAGATTCCTTTGACCCACAGTCTTCATATTTGATATGAAGGTTATTCATGATGAGTAGATGACCCCTATTGATTTTGAGGTCACTGGGTCAAAGGTCAAGGTCACAGGGGCCTTGACTGAAAAAAAGCTTGTCCGCCCAATAACTTAAGATTCCTTTGATCCACAGTCTTCATATTTGGCATGGAGGTTAGTCATGATGAGTAGATGACCCCTATTGATTTTGAGGTCACTGGGTCAAAGGTCAAGGTCACAGGGGCCTTGACTTAAAAAGCTTGTCCGCCCAATAACTTAAGATTCCTTTGATCCACAGTCTTCATATTTGGCATAGAGGTTAGTCATGATGAGTAGATGACCCCTATTGAGTTTGAGGTCACTGGGTCATGGTTTTTAAGATCACAGGGGCCTTGACTATGTAAAGCCTGCCGCCCAATAACTTAAGATACCTTTCACCCACAGTCTTCATATTTGGCATTGAGGTTAGTCATGATAAGTAGATGACCCTTTTTGAATTTGAGGTCCTTGGGTCAAAGGTCAAGGTCACAGGAGCCTTAAGCTCAAAAAGCTTATGTGCTCAATTGCGTAACAACACTTTAGTCAGCAGTCTTCATATTTGGTATTTTGGTTGGTTATGACTAGTAGATGACCCCTATTGATTTTTAGGTGACTGTGTCAAAGGTCAAGGTAACAGGGGCTTTAACTACAATAAGTTTATCCGCTCAAATGCTTTAGATTACCTGTCTTGAGTGTTGTTGATTTTGACATTTTCACGTTTGAAGCATATAATTATGTTCTCATATATTCATCATAAAAAAACCAGACAAAGCTGCATGAATGGGGGTATTCAAGTCATGCATTGGCAGTTTCAGTTTTGAGGTCAAAGGTAAGGTCACTTTGATCTTTGCCACAAAAACATGTAGAATACATAATTATGCAATGCACTGGCTTACTACCCTCAGATATGGCAGGGAGGTTGTTATTGAGCTTTAATTGACCACTGTTGATTATGTGGTATGCGGGGGTATTCAGGCCATGACAGTGGCAGTTCTAGTTGTTTTTAAGCCATACCACTGCTCACATTGTTGGCTTTCTGTATTTCTCTATTTTATTGTCACATCCGTGTTATTTGTGCTGTGTGGCGGCTGTAAAAAGTCTCCCCGTACATTTAATCAATGATGTTATATTTTCGATCCTTAAAGATCGTTCAGCACGACATAATTGTTGTTGTGCATGTGTGCGGTACTTTTAGTTCCCTCTATTTGATATTTTTCTTGTTGAGTGGTTCCAGTATTCCTACTTGAATGCTACAATGTACATAATCACCCTTAGGATATGTACTTGCTTTTAAATTTGTATTTTGACGCCTTTTCTGAGATATTCAGGCTTCATAACCTCAGATCCCCTTTCAAAATTCCATTTTATTTAGTTCCGCCCATTGTTTTCTCGTTTAGGGCACAAGCATTCTTTTATTTGGGGACCATACGCCGCTTTACATGGAATGGCACTACTGTGTCACATTGAAGGTTCCATGGTAACCGCCGTATGAACACATCTGCGGATGTTTCTAAATTCAAAATTTCACCATTTTCGTGTTAAATGTTGAATTCTGCTTCTAGGGGGCGTGGACGGTAACTTGCACTTTCCATTACCGTCCATGAACAGGCTCAATCAAACCGAGCCTGCAACATTTACGATTTTGTCGTGTTGGGCTTTCTTTAGGGATTCTGTATTTCTCTATTTTTTATATCATATTTTGAGGTACATTACACTTAGAAGCTTCAACCAAGCGATTTGTGTCGTACTTTTTGTGTATCAGTTAAACGAATTAGCATTTTTGTAAGTTGTTAATCTTTTGAAAAACATAAAAAGCAATACGTGTAACACCACTTACCTTTACAATTAAACATTTCTAGTTAATCTTTAAAGCAAAAAAATTAGTGTACGTCTTTAAATATATGTTTCAAGATGAATTGAAGGCAGCAACGAGGACATACAAGGGTTTGATAAAAGAAAATTGTGACCTAAAAGATAAAGTGAAAACATTAGAGAAACAGAACAAGCATGTTGCTCATTACAAAGGTAAGTGACGTAATTCCTTACTTTATTTTCTATGTTGACTTGTGTGTAAAAATAGATGATATTGAATCAGTATAGATTTAATTCGTGTTTTTGAGTAAAAATAAAAATTACTAAGTTTTAAGTTCAAACAATGGATATAGCTTAAATGATATGTTTTCTGTTTTATCAAAGCCTAGATATTATTCATACTATACCAGAAGGTCATATATACATATAACTAACAAAAATAGAAAATAAGCAAAACAGTGATCGCAAGAATGAGTGGTTAACGCGTCGGTCTAGTAATCTAAGGATTGCTGCCATGTCAGGGTCAATCAGTGGTTTCCTTGTTGTCTTCCAAACGCATTGCTTTATACACACTCGAACTGAAATATATTCTGTATAAACTAGATAATAAGTACATAGGATATACAATGAGTGTAAGTTAAATACTAAATTTATTTAACGAGTTGAATAAAATTACATTATGCGAATCTATGGTGTTATTCAACTCGTTCAATAAATTCATTAATGAACTTTCAAGAATTTAATATTCTATTTATCACATACCAAAACGAAAGACCGTTTGAAGTGAAAAAGAATCATTCCTCTATAGCATCCAAATGATGATAACGTATGGCAGTGTATAAAATTATAAAATGACGATATTTTAGCAGCATCCAAATTATGACAACGTATAAATATATAACGCTAGCATTTAGCGCGTCTAAACGCTGTGTTTGTAAAACGCAAATGATGTCAAAATATATGCATGTGTATGTGATAAACAATATTTTTGAATAGCACGTGCTATATACAAAGAAATGATAAAACCTTTAAAAAGTGCTGTTTTCTGTTTAAGAGAGAGCAAACAAGCTTGAAAGACAAATCAGCTTTCTAAGGAATAGGTAAGTATAATTATAACTTTTAAAAGCATGATTATGCCTTTCGAACGTTTATGCCGCATATAAAATGTATCACTTTTTAATGACGGGCACCCTCAACAGTTGCTTTCATATAAAAATTATCTTAAACAATGTCTCTCCTCATGCAACGGTAAATATTTTGGTTCAAATTTTAGGAAAAACCAATTTGAAATCAGAAACGAAATGACGTCCATGTCATAAAATTTTGTAGTCTTTCAGCAAGTGACAAGCAACTAAAATCATGCTATTGTTACTATAGAAAATGATTAACAGAAGCGATGGATGTTTCAATAAAGATAAAGAAATAATCTCATAATTTATCGCTGTTAAAGCTAACTTAGAATACTCTAGTTAATATTACCGTCCCGCTTGATCGAAAATATCTTAGAGAAATGAAAAATTATATACTTTGTATGAGATTGTATTTTTTGTCTTTCAGAATTGAGGAGTGATGTTGATGTAGCATTGACGACTAATGTAATTACATCATTAAAAAAATACATATAGCTGGAAATACCGCGTGCTATTATTTTGTCAACGTACGATACAACGACGTCTAATTTGGCAATGTTCAGTTTGAACGACATTTTCAAATCAACAATGTCTACTTTGGAAAAGAACAATTACATTATGTACAATTTTGCAACGAACAATTTCACTATTTATAATTTGGCCATTAAGAATTTCACTAGTGATAAAATATGAATGTATAATATTGTAATATAATGAAACAATGTATCATATGGAAATGTTGATGTCATCTTATATGACATTATATCCATACTTAGCGTTACAACCGTAAAATGACTACGTATAACATGGCAGTGTATAAAATGACGATATTTTAGTAGCATCTAAATTATGTCAACGTATGGCGGTGTATAAAATGACATTATTTAGTAGCATCTAAATTTTGACAACGTATGGCGGTGTATAAAATGACATATATTAGCAGCATCCAAATTATGACAAGGTGTGGCAGTGTATAAATGACAATATCTTTGTAGCATTGTATCTAAATTTAATTATGACACGTATAATTTATTTTCGTATATAATCTTATTATAATGGTGAAATGTTAAAATGTATAAATATCTGAATCAGTTATTTATTTCTTGATTAAATATTTTATGTCGATGTACGATGCGACAATGTATCATTGTTGATCTTGTCACGTATGATTTAACAGTCACGTATGATTTAACAATATATAATTTCTCAATATATGATGAAACCATACATAACGTGTCAATGTATAATGTTACCATGTATAACGTTTCAATGTATGATGTAACCATACATAACGTGTCAATGTTTGATATAGCAATGCATAACGTTTCAATGTAAATATTATCATGTTAAAGCTGTCAATGAATGCTGTTATCATGTATAATATGTCAATGTATGATGTTACCTTGTATAACGTGTCAATGTTTGATATACCTATGCATGACGTTTCAATGTAAATATTATCATGTTTAAGCTGTCAATGTATGTTGTAATCATGTATAACGTGTCAATGTGTGATCTGACAATGTATAACGTCTAAATGTATGTTGTAACCATGTATCACGTATCAATGATATAACCATGTATAACATGTCAATGTATAATGTGACAATTTATATAACGTGCAAATGTTGAAATAACCAAATAGATGTTTACATGTATTACGTGTCAGTGTCTAAATAATATATGTTTGACTTGCTACTGTATAATTTTGCCAGGTATTACGTGTCAATGTTTTATAAAACCAAGTATAAAGTGTCAATGTATAATTAAATCATGTATAACTTGTCAAATTTTAATTCAACAATGTGTATAACGTTAGAATGTATTATCTAACAAAGTATAATTCGTAAATGTTTAATAATGTGTCAATGTGTAATCTAGCAATGTATGACGTGCCAATGTATAACGTGCCAATGTATGATTTCACAATGTTTCGCATGCCAATATATAATCTAACGTATAATGATATATTATATACTTGTCATGTCAGTGTATAACATAACAATGTATAATGTGTAAACGATGTTAAACGTGCCAGTGTATAATTTAACCATGTACATTGTATAACTTGTAAATGTATAATTTAACAATGTTTGATGAGTCAATGCACAATGTAACGATGTATATCAATGTATATATAATTTGAATTTGTATAATTTGACGATACTAGATGTGACATAGTGTCAGTTTATACTGTGACAATATGTTGTTACAGTATATAATATGCCTATGTACTATGTACACTACGTGAAAGGTGAAAGTGACTATGATTTTTTAAAATGTATATATTATGGCCGTGTGTTGTGAGTTACAGCGTATTATGTGCCCATGTTTAATGTGAATGTGTAAATTGTGACCATGTGTAATGTGACAGTGTAAATTGTGACCGTGTAAATTGTGACCATTTGTAATGTGACAGTGTAAACTGTGACCATATGTAATGTGACAGTGTAAACTGTGACCATGTGTAATGTGGCAGTGTAAACTGTGACCATGTGTAATGTGACAGTGTAAACTGTGACCATGTGTAATGTGACAGTGTAAATTGTGACCATGTGTAATGTGGCAGTGTAAACTGTGACCATGTGTAATGTGACAGTGTAAAGTGTGACTTCGTGTAATGTGACAGTGTAAACTGTGACCATGTGTAATGTGCCAGTGTAAACTGTGACCATGTGTAATGTGACAGTGTTAACTGTGACCATGTGTAATGTGACAGTGTAAACTGTGACCATGTGTAATGTGACAGTGTAAACTGTGACCATGTGTAATGTTACAGTTTGAATTGTGACCATGACTTTTTATGTAAAAGTTTATAATATGACTTTTTTATGTGAGAGTGTTAAAGTACCCTATGTTTTGAAACAATGTATAATGCGACGATGTTGCAATTTGAAATGTGACAGTTTGTTATGCGACAGTGTAAATAATGTGACCATGTGTTGTGTAAAAGTGTAGATTTTGACTACGTGTTGTGAAAGTGTATATTATAACCATGTTAAATGAGTAACAGTGTAAAATTTGGCTATGTGTTGTGACTGTGTTTATTGTGACAACGTGTTTTTAGACGGTGTGTAATGTTATCATTGAGTTATGTGACACTGTATTCTATAACAATGAATAATGTGACAATACGTAAATGTAACATGTAACAGTGTATTTTGAGCATCGTTATAACACATGATATATTTAACATTACATGTTTTTGCGACGGCATATTGATTTGCCATTTTGCTGTCCGTCCGTCTGTCTGTCATTTTGTTACGCTGTCTGTACGTTAGCAGGTTTTTGTCATATCTGTCTGTTACTGCATGATTGCTAAAACCATAAAATTTAGTTGACGGCATGTAAAATGGTATTTTGTTTAGCAATAAGTACAGTTAGAGTGAATAAATGTTTTGTATGAAAGTCACAATACTACTTTGTTTACATTTGAAAACCTTTATGACAAATAATTTCACATTCATTGCTACTTTCTTCAGGTAACAAGCATCTAACATAATCTAAAACTATGATATAAGCATGATAAAATTCAGCTCTGCCCTTTCTAAAGAAGTAAAATAATTTGTTTCTGGGGCATGATGTGCTTTCAACAATCTTTGTGTCAAATTTTAGATAAATAAATACTTTTTAAGGAAACAACACTGACAACTACGCTGATTATACGAAAATATTCACGCCCAAACTGTCAAAAAATGAAACTCAGAAGAAATTTGATTGCATTGTTTTGGTACAACTCCAACGAGTAAAACACTCTTAATTCATAATGAATGAATAATTGTTTGTATTGCGCTTCTAAATACGATAAAATTAAATTATTATTTGTAATAACATTTCAATAAAATCGTCATATGAAACTAAAACGCACCTTTTTTCCGATATGTCATATTCTTTATTGAAAGTAATTAGCGCAGCAGATTGTTTCCTTTTGTTTCATTTGGAGCATTTTCATTGGTCAAGTGAAAACCGCAGACCAATGAGGGGAGGGAAGGTAATTATAGGAATGGCCTCCGTCTTTCAGTCTGTACGTCCTCCCGTCTGTCCCTCTGTTACACTTTCGTGTTCGCTCCAAAACTTTTAAACCGCTGAAAACTTTTTTAAATAACTTAGCACAAATGATCACTATCACCAGACAATGCGCAGAGCGAAATAATTTAGTTGCTACTCCAAGGTCAAGTGTTAAAATGTCAACTTTTCGTGCCGCTGAAAATTTTAGAAATAAATTGGCACAAGTGATCACCATTATGAGATAATGTGCAGAGCGCAATAATTGGGTTACCACCCCAAGGTCAATTTCACACTTAAAGGTCAAATATTAAAACGTCTACATTTCATGTCCGCTCCATAACATTTAAACCGCTGCATTTTCTTAAGATAACTTGGCAGAAATGCTCACCATCATGACACAATGTGCAGAACCCAGTAACCAGGTTGTTACCCAAAGGTCAAGGTTTAATGTTCATCGTAACATTTTGACTTCATGGAAGATTTTAAATAACTTGGCACAAATAATTACTATGATGAGACTATGTGCTTATAATATGCATGACACAAGGTCATTGATGGTTAAAGGTCATGTCCGTCACACTACCTTGTTTTACTCAGTACTCGCCGTGATTCTATTTCAAGCTCTTGATATAGAGAAGGCAAAAGGTAAGATAATCATTTTTTGTAAAATATTAACGTATTATGAAAAAAAACTTGTAAATAAAATCCACTGTGAAATTTTTACGATCCTTAAATATTCTTCAAGTAAATGGTTAGTATTTCCTCTCTCTATATATATTTGTTTAATAAAATCACGTGCAGTATTGAACGGATCGTGACACCGTGAGTGCGAACCATACTTATGGAGAACATGCTAGTACTGGTACATGATCCAAATTGTTTATCTCCATTACATAACGATAAAAAATGAAGTAATGTTGGGAAAAAACGGAATTTATAACCCAAACAAATACAATTTTAATATTTTGTCACTTAACCACTGAAAGTTTTTGATGCGGAAAGATAACATCAGCAAAACTTTTCAACTTACCTTTCAACCGTTCATGTCCCGGATTGCAAAATTGTCAGAATGGTGCAATTTATGGCACAAACGAGACGGTTATTGGACGGGCGAAAACACTGTATAATTTTATACTTAATCAAATTTAAATAAATAAATACGACTTTTAACCCTTTCACAAAAAACTATTGTTTGCTTTTCATGATCAATGTCGGAAAACCTTTGGTAATAATCCATACCAATTGTTTTTCGTGCTTTTTCTATGACCTTATATTGCCGTTAAACTTTTGTTTCGGCTAATTTGTAATGGAATATGTAGAGAACAATAGAGCAAAAACAGGTTAGTAATCAATAACAAAAGCTCAGGTAAGTGGAGTGTATTATGACATTTTTTTTCTTATCAATAAATATCACTTAAAATTTAAATAATAAATGATTATGGTGTAGAACATATTTTTGGTAAGTCTTCAAACACTAGAAAAGGGGGATTTAGCAGAGGTATCTCATTTTATTATAGATCAATTTCTAGAAATTGGTTAAAGTAATAAAAAAATCAATTATGGATTTTTTTTGTTAAGATCAGCGCTGTTTTTTTTGTTTACTTAAGGCGGTGTTTATATATAGATCTATCATACTTTTATACTGCCTGTTGAATCTAATTTATCAAGTGAACCATTTTTAAACCTTAATTTTGAGATATTGTAACATATCGGTGAATACAAATTGATAGCTTCATGTATGTTACAATTGTTTGCATGTTAAATTTATAGTGTTCCTTTTGGAGGCCCTCATGGAAGATTGGCATGTTGTTCAAAAGAGTTTTCACGTTAAATAAACTCTTTATTATTAATATTATTATTATTATTATTATTATTGTTTTATTATTATTATTATTATTATTATTATTATTATTATTATTATTATTATTAGTATCGATGTATGTAAACTTTATTTTTCTTTCGAACAATTACAAATAGATATGATGTGTTCGAAGTGATCGAAACAAAACGAATCTTAAATTATAGACATAGAAAATTGAGCAAAAGTGGTTTGATAAAGACTGTATCGAAGAAAAAAAGGATTTAAGAGAGCATGAGATGTTCTTATCAGGCACAACGTAATGAATAATAACCTCCATATTTTACATGCACAAACTCGTTCAAATGTTAATGTTTTTTGACAATTTGACCTTAAATGTAAAGGCCATTCAGGGGTCAAGGTAAAAAATACAGGTCCGTAGGAAGGTCTTGTGCAAAGGGATGTTGTGTTCAGATATGAATCAAATCCGTTTACTAATAAGGAAGTTATGGCCAATGTTAAAGTTTTCGGACGGATTGATGGACTGACGGACGGACAGTTCAAAACTAATATGCCTCCCTTCGGGGTATGCACGAAATGCTTCTGTGCAAAAACGTTTTAATTGCTTTTGTAGATTGAAAATTATATTTTCACCATCTGAATCACATATTCAAACCAGACACGCACTGCGCTTGTCTTGCTCACAACGAGGTTATGGTGCTCACAACGAGGATTAAAGCAAAAAAGGGTATATCTTCGTTTCTATGAAGACTTTCAGGTAATAATTTACGCTGAAGACTTGTGGGCATCTGTTTCAGGTTAGAATGCACAAAACTTTACCAGAATCGACGTTTTCAATGTTAAATTTGGTCCGGAGAGAAGTTTTCTCCAGTTTTCCAGCTACCCCGAGTGACTGCGTCGCACGGTATTTCCCTCAAATTGTCCACCAACAGGCAATATCTTTACATGTGCATACTCGGAAAACACATCGCTAGCTAACTGCATTCCGATATATTTACATAAATGTCTGTAATCTTCAAAAATTATGAAAAACTCACCTTGTTTATCGTGTCACACGTCCTAGATGGGTGCTCACAACGAGGAACGGAAGTTGCTCACAACATTTTTACCGATGGACATTTTACACTCGTTGTGAGTTAAACGGGCGTGCAGACACAGATGTTGGTCGAAATTATAACGAAAAAATTGGCCATTTTATTAATGCCACGTTTTCAAAACCTAATTTTTCATATATTTAAGACAAACGATTTCGATATAGATATACATAGAATACTTTTAAACAATGATTAGTTGAGACTTTATGCGTCTATTAATACTTTACAAAGATTATAAACAAACTGCAAATTTAAAAATTCTTTTAAATGGAAAAGTATTTAGTCTGTGTCGAAGAAAGCAAGTACAGAACTGTTTTAACTACATTTCGAACTTTCTCCCATAATTTATTGATAGAAACTGGTAGATATAAAAACACTCCTGGAGAGCAACGAATATGTAAATAATGCAATATGAGACAAGAAGCTTTAAGAGAGTGATATCACTTTCTCCTTCTTAATAAACTTCTTATTCGTATAAGTACCGTAACTCAACATTATTCTAGTTTTTTAAATAGCTCCGATTATAATATAGAATAGTGCTTATCCAAAAAAGACTTGGAATTCGACAGTGTTGAAAGAATTTTATTTAAACATCAAACAGTGACTAAGAACAAAGAGGAGGTTAAATGTCAAAGGACTACTTGTATAACTTTATAATGTGCATAACCTTGCCTGATTGTTTAAATATCTCCCTTTATTATTGGCATTAACCCTTGTTATGTACCATTTTAGCGCATAAATAGAGGATATTGAATGAGTGTAAGTTCAATACTGAATTTATTGCACGAGTTGAATAAAATCATATTATGCGAGCCTCTGGCGAGCATAATATTATTTTATTCAACGAGTGCAATAAATTAAATAATGAACTTACACGAATTTAATATTCTATTTATCACATACCCAAAATAAAGACCATTTAAAGTAAAATAAGAGTAATTTTTCATTGACGCGCCGCTAGTATAACGCTAACATTTAGCGCGTCTTTACACTATGTTTATATAACGCTAATGCCGTCACGTCAAGATATATGCACGGCCGAGCAATACCATATTTACGGAGTCGAAAAATCGGCACGGGTGTGTGATAAAGCCATTCCTTTTTATTGACCGATGCTTTATATTTTGCAAAACGATGCAAAGGTGGTTTGGTATAGAGGTACTAATGTTAATGTTACAAGTGCTAAAATATCGTTTTGCTTTTGCTTACACAAAATTTATTTAATGACTGATGGCCATCGTGTCTTTCATATTTGGTAGGTAAATATTTTGGATGGTCCTATAAATTTGGAAAGAGAATATGGTCACGTAAGTCGAGGTCAGTTTAACGAGACTGATAAAAAATTATTTGATTTCTTCACTTTTGCTCTTGTAGTTTCTATTTATTGGTAGAGATATTTCATATTTGAGAGAGATATTTCATATTTGAGAGGTAAATACATTAGGTTTCATGTATTAGGGTATCTATATTTATATATTGTAATATCTATTGGGGTCACTGGTTCTTTAATGTTCTTCTTGCATTAATTTCTTGACTGATGTGCATTGAAGTAATAATGACATTATTCTAAACTTTATATTTTAGAAGTTATGCCCTTTTTTTGCCAAAATTGCTTATTATTACAATTTTAGTAGGAAGATTATTTCAAAACAACTAGAAACTTGTAATACTTCACTATCATGACGAAACAAAATTTAGAAAGACTACTAATTCTGTTTGTGACATTGCGCATGTGCAAAGAAAATGGTGAATTATATTGATTCCGAAATGTCAACGGAATAGTTCTAATTCTTATTATTACTTTTCATAATGTCTACTTTCCTCGCATACTCAAAATTTAAATATCTTTCTCCAGCAAATTTTAAATTTAGGTTACTTAATACAGACCCTTTTGGAAATCTCCAGACAATGTTGGCTTGAATGTTGTCACAACTATTATGTTATGTTTTGCCACTCCCCCACCCTTTCTCCCCCCCCCCCTCCCCCGCCTTGCAGGCCTTTTGTTTGCATCGTCCAACCTTCAGTTCGTACATTTTCCGTCCGTCCCGCTAAACAGTCAATGTAAGTCTTATCCTTAGTAATACTTAAAAGGCTACTTAAGAATTTTCTTAGATAAAATTAATCTACATGTTGAAAACTTTCTTATTTCAATTGAAATTGGCAGTTTGACAGATGATGGGATTGCATTGGTAGTTGAGTCTAGTCATATTTTTGTCATTCATTCACGGATTTGTATTTAGATAAATGGGCTGAGATTATGAGAATATGTTTATGTTTCTATTTTTCTGAAACACTTTTTTATAGAAATCAAGCCTTTGGTGAAGTCAATGTCATGGTTCCCCTACTGGGCTCTGCTTAAGGGACATTTGTCTGTTTCCAACGACAGTAATGGCGGCATTCCCTTTTCTGTTGCCGTCCCAAAAAGATAACGTTCATCGTTACCTTTTTCAGTTCTAAGTGTATTGTCTTCATGTATGGCCACAAAAACACTTTGGACAAGACCTTCATGTAGACTGGACCCTTATAAATGACCTTGGCCACCAAGGCCAGAAGTCAAAATTTTGATGATTTTTGTTGAGTTTTGCTATAAGAGGGTATAACTTGGTTATTTTTGAATGGATGTCTTCAAACTTTAACAAAACAATCTTTAAAGATAGACCATTAAGTGAATTAGACAGACATTGACCTAAATTCATAAATGACATTGAAGGTAAAATTATAGAATTGAATTGTTTTGCTGTAATTGGACTTTGTGATTGATGAATGGTTTAACTTCATATTAAGACACAAAATATTTTAGGATTAGACATTTATGTAAATTAAACTCAACTTGATCTTGGCAGATTAATGAACTTAACAATGAAAATAAATTATTGAATTGTATTTTTTTTTAATTGAAATTAACTTGGTATCTAATTGATGGATTATCTTCATACTTTGACAACACATCCTTTTAGACAAGTCGTTCAAGACGGTTGGACTGACTTTCACCTTGATCTTTATATGACTTTGATCGTCAAGGTCAAACTATTGAATTTTGGTTTAATTGTCATAATTTTGTTATTTATGTACAGATTTGATTTATACTTGGACAAAACAAGACATGTCAGGGCCTTCTTGTATGTTAAAAACAAATTGACTGGGCAAAAATATTTTGGACAAGACCTCGGAAACGGTTGAATTGACCTTAACATTAAGGTCAAGTTATTAAAATTTGGTTAAGTTGTCATTATTTTGTTGTTTATGCATACATGGACAATACAACTTTTAGGACCCAACGGACATGTTGAATTCAGATATGACCTATATCTTTAAATGACCCGTAAGGTGTCTAAATCAAGTTTTATCAAAAGAGAACTGAAGTGTTTGAGGGATGAAATGTGTGCAATATATGGCTAAGGTGCAGTGTCTGAGAGGTGTAAATGATACTGAGAAGGAAATGAACAAACATGGCGTTGCTCATATAGCCGGCAGGTAAGCTGGCAAATCAATCATGCCAATGAAGAATTCAGTCCATTACTTCAAAATAATTTGTTTAAAATTAATTCAAACATTTTTATATACTGTCTACAATCGCAACTTTTCGGCCATTTCCCTCAAGTCTTCAGCTAATGACCTCGAACACAATAGTTGAATGCAAAAAGCGGATACGGCATTTCGGTTATACCGACGCAAATAAACTAGACATTTAAACAAATAGTAATTTAATGCTGGGAGTTGTTGACAAGTTTATTTCCAGTATATTAAGTAAATGTCCACCTGAAATAAGTGAATTCATAGAAAAAAGTAAACAGTACATTATTTATATACTTATTATTATGGTTGTCGAGACCGAAAGTACAAAATGACAACCTGTTGACATTAAGTCGAATTGGGTTATAATTGTACATCAGTGGGTAAATTTATGTCAACGAGACAGTCTGAAGGGCAGCTTAATCCCCTTTCATAGTAACCATGAATAATTACTTATTAACCTTTTACCACACATGGCCTTGATGTTGTACCATGCATAACATAAGCACATAGTCTCACGATGGAGACTATTTGTGCCAAGCTTATTAAAATCTTCCATAAGGTCAAAAAGATGTGAAGAACATATAACCTTGACTTTCGGGTAGCAAACTGGATTTTAAGGACTTCAAATTGTGTCATGGTGTGGATCATTTGTGCCAGAAAATTCTAAAATAGTTGAATTGTCAATAAGTTATAGACATGACATGAAAAATAGATGTTTTTACGTTTGACCTTTGAGTGTGACCCTGACCTTAAGGATTATGACTTGATTATTGTGCTCTGCAAATGGTATCATTATGGTGATCATTTCTGCCAAGTAGTCTTAAAAAACATTGCAGCGGTTTATTTATTCTTATGTAGTGGTTTGCCTGCCCGTGCTCTACCTTATGCCCTGTCCTATTTTTCTTTGGGGTCCTCCTGGGCTCCTTGCCGCTGGCGCTTGTTGCTGGCTCGGGTGGGGGCTGCGTTCATTGAACGCCACCTTTCCTTGTCGATCTTGTTTATCATATTTTAAAGAAAATGGAGCGGACATGAAATGTAGACTTTTAGCACTTAACCTTTACCTTGGGTGTAGCAACCCAGTTATTGCGCTCTCTGTACATCGTCTTATTATGGTGATCACTTGTGCCAACTTATTTCAAAACAGAATCATATGTTTAAAAGTTATAGACTAGAAACAAAAGTATTAAGGACAGACATACGGACGTTCCCACTGAGTTGACGTAAAATGAAACAAACTAACAATCAGATCTACATCTAAGAAATAAGATCTGAACTTGATTCAGATTGTTATTCAGTTCTTCACTTCAGTGTTGTTATATTTTCTGGTCGTTCGGGATCATTGATGCCAGCACTATTAAGTGTTGAGAATTGAGTACCGCTCAAGCCGGATGCATTGCACTTATTCATTATCTCTCATGTACAGACTCAATCAAACCGAGTCTGCAATTTTCAATTAAATTTCTTGTGATTAATGCATCCGAGGGATCACTTTGTTTCCAGAATTTTGATCTTCACAACAGCAGGTGTCAAGTGCCGTGTTGCAGCTGTAAAAAGTTGCCCCGTACTTCACTTCAGTGAACTTATATTTTCTGGTCCTTTGGGATCATTGATGCCAGCACTATTAAGTGTGTGTTGAGAATTGAGTACCGCTCAAGCCGGTGTTAGGGGGGCGTGAGAGTGTTGCACTTATTCATTATCTCTCATGTTCAGACTCGATCAAACCGAGTCTGCAATTCTTATGTAATTTTGTTGTGATTAATGCTTCCGAGGGATCACTTTGTTTCCAGAATTTTGGCATAAATTGCACAAACTGTATATATATAAAGGGATATTCAGGCAAAATAATGACAAAAATATTAAAATGATCTTATGTACTCAAATCACACTAAAATGACTTTTCTTGAAGTTTCAGCATGAATTTCTGCTTAAATTCTATATAGTTTGGCTGGAAGCGTAAATATATCTATATATGTTGAACAAAATTTAGACGCCAATAGAATCACCAAATAGTTTTAAAACAAGTCAGATGACTTTAACAAACCCTTGAAGTTACAATAACAGATATTGTGGATATTGTATGGTTGAAACAAGTCTAAGTCATTCATTTGACATGTTCTTTAACCTTTCCAGAGTTCACTTTGACAACTATTGTGAAATCCTAGCGCTCTAACCTGACCCACGCGGGTCAAGTTAGGAAACCATCATTTTATTCTTTATATGGAGGAAAGGTTTGTTTCTTTGACTGTCTAATATATTTATTTTGAGGGCATTTACAGAATAATGAATGAAAAATTCAAAACTAAGAAATCAAAATTTTGCCTGAGTCTCCCTTTAAAACACTGTCACTTTTTATTACAGGTATAAAGATGCAAGAACAGAAGAAAGGAAAATTTAAGGATAATATAGAATAATGAAAGGTATTTATTAATTGGAAAAAAACACACACAAACAGAAATCTTAGGTTTGACAAAGATATAACAGATACATTAACGGAAATATGGCAGAGGCATGGAGTCGACCACGAACGGAAAGACAGGTAAGATCTGTATATTTGTAGCAGCCGACCTGTTATTGTCTCCCTAGTCTTAACTTATCGGCATTTCCGCCAAACTTCGAATAAGCGCAATTCGAATGCGGTCTTTTACTGTCAAATGATGTATCTCGTAAAAATGATGTGGATTCATGAATGTGTTGGTTTCATTTAAAAGAGTTATGTCTTTTGTTTATTAGTCCAGGAGTTGGCGGGATTTTATTGCAATTAACTATATCAAAAAAGAAACATTGCCATTATAAAGCATATCGTTTGTAGTTTCTAAAAACCAATTTCTTAAGATGCGCAGCCCGAGCAAAAGTACAAAAATTCAAGATGGCCGCCAATGTGGCCACCATAAATTACAAAATACCATATTTATTTTGTTTTTGACTTTTTACAAAATTTTGTACAAAATAGTTTTTATTGCACAATATCAAATAAAATATGGCTAATTTATGATTTAATGGAGCAAAAATGACAATTATACGGCAAACTTTTAAAATGATCACTATCAATTTACCATAAAAGTGGTAAAATAACATTTTTTGACAATTTGATGACTCGTTTTTCCGTATTAACAAACAATATAAATTGTGTGTTCTTATCAATTTAACAAAGCTAGACAAGTTAAGCATAGAAAATCAGTATATTACCATTTATGCCGTAAGAGTAGAGCTTCAAAAGTGGGATGGAATAAAATTACCGAAAAAAAAATATTTAAAATTACAATGTTCCCAAAACTGCCCTTAACTTTATAATTTCAGTTTAATGTAAAGTAAATTGTGTTTAAACTTTAATTTCTTTATCATTTGAAGGTTGCTTGATCAGTTAAGCATAAAAATTATTTACCTGAGCATTTATCACAGAAGAGCACAGCTTAAAAAATGGGCGGGGTTAAATAACCGAGAAAGAAAGAGAGAGAAAAAAAGAAGAAAAAACGTTCAAAATAATTAAGCTCATAAAACTGGCCCTTATTTTTCAATTTTAGTCCATTAATCATTTATTTGAATTTTGTGAAATGAAACATAAAAGTTGTAAAACATATTAAAAGAAAGAAACATCATGTCATCGCAATCTTTAAATTAATCACAATCAATTTGCCAAAAAATGAATGGTGCCAAATCACTTATTTGATATTTTTTTGCCTTCCGATATTATTTTTTTTTTTTGACACAAAGTAGAATGAAATTATGTCACATTTGTCTGTCTTTCATTAGTTTATTATAGCTTGTCAAGTTATTATTAAAAGTTAACACCTGCAGATCATATATCTTAGAAGAGTAGAGATTTCTGAAACTTGGGGGGGGGGAATAACACCCAAACCATTAGATATAATGTTCATGAACTTGCTTTTTTGTTCAATATTTTCTGTTAAACAATTATGTGATGGCATTTTATATGTTTTGAAAACAAAAGAATTGTATGAATATATACTTTTTGAAAAGAAATCATAATCTATAATGTTCTTCCAGCAAAAATTGTAAAATGAATTCGATCTCACTACATTTGATATAAATTTTAGTTTTGGTGGAAACATCATCAGTATCATTTTAAATTTGACTACTTTATTGTCTAATATGAAAGAAAAGAGAAGTGGTATTGTCATTGATGAAAGGAGCATTCATTAACGAATTTTGTACCAATATCATACTGAATAAAATCACAGTCATAGAACATCGCAATAGTGAAAAGCAAAAGGTGTGTCAGCCTTAATGAAAATTAAACTTACAATACAAATTGAATACATAAATTATATGAATATAAAGTATAGATGTATTTATACGAAAACAGTCAATTTGAATACTTTAAATAAATGCAGCATTTAATGCAACTCCCCTACAAAAAATATAAGGAATACCAATTTGTAAAGTATTTCATACTTTTTGTGCGGTCCATACCTTTGTCATATATGGATAAATTTAATTTTGCATAAGTTGTGCATTGTTTGTCATGGCAAGTCAATAATTTTGTCATTCAAGGATAATTTTTTTAAATAACTTCATAAAATTGTTTTTGGACATTATATGGATGTGTCATATTCAGAAATCTAGCCTCTAGCATTAAAACTCAAGGGCACACTTGTACTTCCATATTCATAATGTGCTTAATAGATGGCTGTGTCCTTCCTACAACATTGTCATTCATGGATGAGTTTTAACAATTATACATAATTTTTTTAACATTGATCTAATGTGTCTCACGCTAAAATAACCTGTGTTGCTCATGGTCACCCCTCATTTTTCATTTACTTGTATTGATTCTCATGTACATATATGTTTAAGTGTCGGCTGTCAGGATCTGTTTCAATATAATTTTGCAGTCTGTTTAGCAACCTAGCAATGTGAGCTGTGAGTTGACTTTTTCTAACGTAGGCTGATCTCAGTTTCAGCTGCTCACCACCGTAACTGTAAAAACTAGGGCCGAC